ATTACTGTATTACAAGTAAGCGAGGTAACTCTACTCTGTCATCTTTAGTGGAATATTCTCTTCTTTGAAATTCCCATGAACTGTTGCATCAGATTCCATGAAACTACACATGGAAATAAAGTCTCCCTTAGCTGGACGCTCCCTATGGGGAGATCAGAATGCACAGAAATCCAGGTCAGCCTGGCACAGGAACATGGCAAATGGTACTTGTACTGAGACTACTAAAAAATAGACGTGTTATTCCAAAAATGTAAAGATCACAAGAAAGTTGTGTACTCGGACCCAACTGAGTGTATGGCGTACTGTGAGCAAAGTACAAAATCTGGGCAAATTCACTGTGGTAAACTGCTGACGTAAACATATCCTCTGTTCATTCCAGTAATTTGATTGTCTGTGTGTATTTTCAAATACCTGCTCAGTCCAATACAGGGTGGCAATGAGCAAGAGCCTCACCAGGCACACGGTGAGCAGGCAGACAGGATACCAGTCTATTGTACGGCACACATGCATGCTGTATGGTTATGGGAAAGAATTTTAAAATAACATTGTGTATGCTACAAAAACAATGGTAGAAATTAATCCATGCAGGGTTCTTTCATCACAGTTTGGACTCAAACACACTAGATCAATGTACACATATGAACATGATGGAGGTACTCTGATGGCTCCCAAGAACCGTTTGAGGCATGATGGAATTTTAAAATTGCCCTTAAATTGAAAGACCTGAATGTATAAATTCAGTATTAAGTCTGTGCTGAAGGGATCACAGGAAACGTATTAGTGAACACTTAGTGAATATGTTATAGTAAACTGCGTCTTTGCTGTAATGCCCCTCAGTGTTTCACTATGATTTAACAATGACTTCCATGAGTAGTGCAGTAATGCACTTTGGACTTGCATAGGAAAGTATTATAAGGCTTAGACAGAGGCTTAACCAAATTCCAATTCCTTCTGCATTGTGTGGATAGTATTATGTGGCTTCAGTGTTTATTTTATAACCCTCTAATTCCCTTTAAAATGCAATTTCACTAGACACTTGTTGCTGGAAAGCAACAGGTACAAGGCAGGATACACCCTGGATAGGACACCAGTTCATTGCAGGGCAGACAGACACACACACAGACCAGGGCCAATTTTCCCAGAAGCCAATTAACCTACCGGTATGTCTTTGGACTGTGTGAGAAAACCAGAGCACCCAGAGAAACCCATGTAAGCAAAGAGAAAATACAAACTGCCCAGAGACAGCACCCCAGGAACTGAACCAGGGCCCCAACACTGTCAGACAGCCATGCTAATTTCTGTGGCACTGTACTGCTGTCAATAAATACCACATTTTAGCATAAATGATTCACTGTCTTCCAGATATAGACAGGTATTTTTTATAATTATTAGCCAATATTATTTTACCTATTGCAGCTGTAATCCTACACTATATACATTGCCTACAGCACTACAACATCTAGTGAAAGTACACAATGATGACATATCAAACTGGAACGGAATGTTTTTAATCAGAAGAATCGGCCAATGGAAGCTGAAGGATAGATCACGTGACAGGAATAAACACTAAAAACATAGTACACTACATGCTGGTAACTCCATGTACACGTGAGCCCGGAGAAGCAATGGAAGAATTACAGTCTAGAAGGTGATGAAGTGCTGCAGTATATGACTGAAATACTGAAAGATGTTTGAGGGTTATGTGCAGCAAAAATTCCTTCTAGGCCCTCACCTTCGCAGGTGCTCGCTGGTGCTCACTCCCTCTGTCGGCTATCAGGAAGCACCTGGAACCCACCACTTGCCCAGCCCCACCCCCACCTCCCCCAGCGGTCCTGAGAATAATTTATGCACTTCGCCATGGTTACCTGCTCAGGACTGAAAGGCCAGCGTTGGATCAGATTCCCCCTCTCGCACCACGCTGCTGCTCCTGTGATCTCCACAAGCTGCCTGGGCGCACGGAGCTCATCACAGCAAGGACTGCTAGCACTGTCAGCTACATCCACCCTCTCCCAGCCACACACAGCATCACACTGTCTGCCCTCCGCAGGAGCGGGAACTGGGGACCAGTGCAGGGAGCCGCTATAGGGGAGTGGAGGTTTGCTACCACATTCATTCGTTTGTTCATCCATTTAACAGGGAAACTGGCCCAGTGAGAAAGAGGCCTCGTTTACGAGGGTCCTGGGATATATACAACTGAGTGGTCAGACTGGGACCATAACCGCCTCACTGGAGGTGGAATAATTCAAAAGTATACATGTGACTCTACAGTCAATGACAGGCAGTGGCTACTTTGAAACATCTGAATTGTCAGGGCCCAGTAAAAGAAGACAATTTTCACATTCCCCCCCCCCCCAAGAATTATTTGTATGTTTGTCTTCTTTCTCAGCATTCAAAGCTCTGTTTCACCCTGTACTGCACGCTGCTCGCAGGAAGTGCCTGACAACGCGCCGTTTGGACGTTGTGACCTTGCTCAGTGCACAATCTCATGGCTGGGCATCCGCTGGAGAGTGGAGGGAGAGTCTGGGAACGCAGGTAAAGAAAAACGTGCTGTGCGTGTTAAGGCGGTTGCCATTTACGATCGTCTGCTTGAGTGAGAAATCCATTTTGATCGCAGTTTCACTCGCGTTGCAGTGCTCCGTCACTGAAACGAGCGAGTTGCTATCAGTCCAGGTTGTTTTGGACTGGGCTTCACCATCGTCTTCACACAGAAGCAAATTGACTTCAGAAGTCAGGGTTGTCATAGTCAAAATCCTGGCCTCGTTTAAGAAAACAGTCATGACTCTGCCCTGAGGCCCGAAGAGTGCCAGGGTGAGCTTCAAGGATCCAGAGTGTGTTTCTCACTCCATGATAGTCCTTATTTGATTATCCATCTGTGCCTTACAACTTACGACCTGATACAGCCAATACTGTGGTCCCACGCGGTCCACTTCAAAACGTCATGTCAAGCACTGTTCATTCAGCTCTTCATTATCTGGTTCCAGAAAATTGCAATGTAATCTGGCACCTTATTTAATGCATTTTCCCCAAATATTTTGGGTTCACTGTTGCCATTCATTAGATTTATCCTGCCGTTTCATATCACATGTTATTTAATAATACAGTACGAAACCCAATGTATAATCTTAGACAAGAATGTGGATTTATGCAGACTACAATTGCTTATCAGCTGTTAATTATATTTGATAAAGGCACCAGACTCTTATTTTAAAATAACATGACATTTTTGTAGCCCTATTGCTTTGAGATGACAAAAGACAGACAATACTGATCAGATACTGGAGTAAAAATGATTGTAATTATTATTTAAAAGACTTATCAGAGAGTATTACACTATGTATTAATGCCTGTTGCTGCAGATGGAGATACAGTACCATCCATTCATTTGCATTATACACTTTTAACTATAATGATTAATATAATGGTATTATTTATATAACAAGGGAGTACTGGACCCAACAGCCTTTATGATTTGTTTCTTCTATGAGCACCTACCTACATTAAATGTCATTTGTCTAGTTTGTATTTTGTAGTTTCCAGTTTCCTTTGTCACTTCTAGAGTGATTGCCAATCACATTATTTTGATATTATCTCCAAATGCAATTTCTAACTATATTCGTATCTGAATTGTTAATACAAATTAGGAAGAACAGTGGCCCTAATACAGACCCCTGTGGTACTCCACTACTTCACCATTATCTGTACTCTGCATTTCCTATCCAAAAACCAACTTTTAGTCCAAATGCATGCGTCACCTTGAATGGATCCTAACTGCGATTTGAAAACTAGTCTTTTATAAGAAGCTTTCCTAAATGCCTTCTCAAAAACAAAAATTTCCATGTAATATTATCTTTTTGTATCCATTACTGCTTTTGAATGTTCAGAGAACTCTAACAAAATCCAATAGACTTTCCCAGTTTCCCACAGTCTACATTAAGCTTTACTGGTGCTCCCTGATGTTGCATCATGCTTTTACTATAATTTCACTGTGCTTTACTACACTTTAATCTATTTCCCAATAGTGAGCCATAGTAGACTTTCACCAAGTAAGTTATGAATATAGTGATACATTATAAGAACCATATAAAAGAACCCACACACAATTATCAGAGCATATGTTTGGTTAGTTTTTCTTTCCCACAAGCTTGGTGTGTTTGCTCTAGTATGAGGGACTCTCATGCCATTGGGGCACAGCTGATCTGTTGCCTACCTTTGGGGTGATATCATGCCGACAGTACACAAAGATACAGTACCAACATAGGTCGGGTTACAGGAAACACCGTCCCATAGCCGAAGAGAATATTATAGCAATTATAAAAAGGTGGATTCTTTACGGAAGTACCAAACCACAGAAAAAGGTTTATTATTGTAAGTTATGAAGAATGGGACCATACAGTATGTCTCAGCTGGGACACTGGTAGGGTCTGGGCTTCACATCCTGACTGAAGGAGAGAGCTGGGTACCCTGCCCATTATCTGCCTGAAAGACTTTGCCAGTGACATTTTTCTACCAAAATGTATTTGGTACATAATGAAAAACATATTGTAGCACCCTTTTCAGCTTGCTGGCTTTTCATACTAAAAGGATAATTCGAATTATCTTAAAATTTAACCACTGTGACTGAAAGGCCTGGAAATAATTGCTTACTAATTAATACTTATTAACCTCTGAATACTTTGAAGGCTTTTGAATATATTCCTTGGTATGCCTTGGTCTGAATACTTTTCAGGGCACTGTACATTTTCATGTTAATGATCTTAATTTGTAGCTTAATTTGTCACTAAAAGTAAGTCATAGATATGAAAATGCACAGGTCTTATTAAACAGTACTTCTAATTTTCATAATTTTCAAAGTGTTTCAAACGTCCCACGCGCCGTTTGCTAAACCTTTCCCGTTTCTAGCCGAAAGTCCTGCAGTATTTTTTTTTCTCTGCCCTAAAATTAGTTGCTGCTATATTTGCTCCTTTGAACCTTTTACACGCCCTTGCAGAAATCGTAGGGAAAATTGCGTTCCCAGAGCAAACACACGGAGATGCGGAGTGAAAAGAATTCGCACTTACCTGGCTACAACTTCATTGTCAATTTTCACCAGACAGTAAGGATCACTCGTCCCAGAGCTACCAAGAAAAAAGGGGCACAAGTATTCGGTTTTAAATTTCTTGTGAGCTTCCACAACTCGGACTCGTGAACCGACATTAATCATACGCCTTTATGTGCACTATTAAATCATGAGCCGTTAAGCTTTCTAACCCTCTGCGTGATGTGCATCATATTAATTAAGTCAATGCATATCTGGGATTTTATAGCTTGAAGCCATTCTATTTCCATCCATTAAATCACGTCATTTATCTCAGTTGGTTGACTGGATTTTTATATACCTGTATAAATCAATGTTTCAATAACTAGACGCGTCTTTCCAATCTAATTAAAGAAACCGATCTTTTCTGCATGGTAGGATTTGAAAACCCACTATGCTGGAGAAAAGCCTTCGGCTTCAGAGGAATGTACAGGTAGTTCATTTTGAAGTTTACAACCGGTCTCTTATCGATTTGTTCTAACAGCGTGAAAGACAAATATAAACATCAACGCAGCATTCCTACTTTTCAAGTGGTAGAAAAAACCAAAACTTAATCTGTATACGTAAGACAGTGTAGTACGCTGTATGTAAACTCTAAAGCAAAACAATGTTTTAAACATGGTAGTATTACAAAAGATGTAAAAGCTCCAGAGCAGTTATCCAGTTCTCTTCACCGCATTTTAGGGAAAAGAGCCGTCTTAAAAAATATATATTTTTTATCATTATTATCATTTACATTCTAAACAGGTTAAAGGCTTCGTAAACTAATCTGCGGAATGAAAAAATATTTTTCTGCAGACGAGCCGTTTTTGTCAACTTGGGGAGATCAATGCGATCGCAGTGGATTCTAGGGACCAGATTATATCCTACACAGTAAAAAAAAAAACGACCGCCTCATTTCATAGTAAAATCAGTGTGAATCAAACTTAAAGAATGTATGTTCATTATTTATAAACCTGCTGTTGTTTCTATGGTCTATGTGCTGTGTATGGACTTGATAGCCTATGCTGTTCTGTACGAACTGTTGAATGCTGGTTGCCCCTTGTACACGCTCACTTCTTTATCTTACAAGACTCCTAAAACATCTTCCTCCGAATGTACAGTATGTAATAGAGCGGATATTCAATTAATGCCATGTTTAGTGAAATAATAAGAGCTATTCGTCCAAAAAGTTAGCTTTTGATTTACAGTAGTTCCCAAAAGTAAAGGAAGAATATTTGATAACTTACACATCTTTTGCAGGCAGGTTTCTTCCTTCCACGATCCGAAAATACAGAGAAGTGTTTTTGGCCATGGTGGGCTCTGGAGGAGAAGCTCCTTGGTGACCACTTGCCCCAGCAGGAATGTTCCTTCGGGGTACACTTACGGGCGCCGGGGCTCTCCCTGCGTGCACACGAGCCGGGGGGGATGCCGGCTGGATCCCATCCCTCGCTCTCTCGCTCTCTCGCTTCACGGAGACAGACGGACGCACTTGCCTTCTGCAGAATGTGAGCACACGCCAAATCCAGGGGAAAAAAGCGGATTTTAAAACAGCAGTGGCGCTTTCAAATCTGACACCGGTTATCCCCAAGCAGACACGGAAAGCAGTTAACACGCAGCGCGACAACTTCTGAAGTGAATTGAACGCTCGTTGCCACACTAGTATAATCTGTATAGTGGGCTAGGTGTGCCTTCCCGGTCGGATTTCTTAGCAAAGTGCTTCATTCTTTCATTTCCCCCTTGAGACTCTGCAATTGAACAGGTGTATAGCCTGCACGACGAACATATGTTGCGAGTGCCAGCGTGCTCGGATCACCCAGTGTAACTGAAATGACACAGGTAAAGCTGGAGTTTCGCGTAACCTGGAGAGGCGAGGAGGAGGATGGATTCCTTACCGGTGTAATCGCGCCCTCTATTGGCCAAAGTGTATTTCGACGCCTTTTAATGCCCGTAACGTAAAAAACAACTGCAATGAGTTTCATACTCCGTAAACTAGTGAAACCTAAAAAGGTCGCCACATTTCTATGTATCGGGCTTATACATAAAGTGCTGATGCAGTGGTGAGGAAGATTGCTTTTAAATAATAATGCTAATTATTAAGTTAATTGAAGTTAATTGTGTAAATGATTATTGTTATTAATAAGAAGTTGGGGAAATTGCGTTTAAGAGGTATTGTATTGCTTTACATGAAACTATATCCCCGTTACACAGACATTACATTGTGTGTTGATATTTTAGAACTAGCCCTACCCCAAACGTCTTATTAATTTTAAAAAGTAGTTATTTATAGAAGAAGCTTGTACAAAGCAGTCAAATCTAGTTTAAGTGCAGCACTCATGACATTACTCAGGGCAGGGCCTCGTTGGCTTGAAATGAGCAATTAGTGAGGCTGACATTGTATTTGTTTCGTGTAGTCTGCCCTGGGATCCTAGAGGCGAAACAAATCTGTAGTGTTTATGTTAGACAGTAACTGAGCCTTAAGTAACATGACCTTTACCCAAACTAATAGGTGATGCGTACAAAAATATAACAGACGACACATTCCGATTAAATATCTATCGTGATTAACATGATTTCACAGGTGAGGGACACACCTGTTATGTGCAAAATTTAGGAAGACAATGTATTTCTCGTTACCAGCCTGCTAAATTTGCGGTACTGTAATCTCTGTAGTAAAGGCGTACACAAAACACTTTATCTACCCCTCCATTTCTTCTTACATTGCTTTTAATTCTGTGCTTGCACAATACCATCTGCGCTTCTCTTCGCCGTTATACGTCGCCAAATAAGGAAGCGACAACAGGCACTTACGTGGACAGCTATGATGAGAGGGTCCTTCCACCCAGCTGACGTGCGAAGTGTTTTAAACCGCGATCACCTGAAACAAGCGTGGGGTATCGGCAAGAGGTCTTAAATTTCTTCTGTGCATTAGGTATGAATGCGGAGAAGTTTTCATTGTGCATGCTCAGTGTAGCTAAGACAATATGATGACTGGTGATTTCGATTATATCGCTGTCAATTCAGTTTACTGAAGGTTTGTTTTGCTTAGTTTGTGCTGAAATAAAGCGCCGCTGTTGTCCTATCGTAAATGTGTACGAGGTCAATTCTTGCCGCTGCGTTTCATGTTAAGAGAGGGTTTCTCAAATGTCCTCTTATCGCGGGGTACGTTTTTTTTTCGAATGCACTGCAGTCTTTTTGGAAAAGCCGAAAGCAAAATAAAGATTGGTTGCGTTAGTAAAAACATGAATAGTGCTAGACAACAATCATCCACAATTTTGTTTTTCTTGAATTCTAAGTTTTCCACTCGGCTTGTTTTGGGTGTCAAGGTTTTATTTTTCCTCCTTATATCCAGGCGTTTGAACGCAAGACATCTGAAATTATGGCAGACTACCCTGGCATTTACGACGAACCGGCGGACTCCACCAGACAACAGGAAAGACATTACCACCTCCTGTCCCAGCTACAGAACCTCGTGAAAGATCTGCCGAGGTGTGCCGGTTACGCTGTCTAGATCCAAACATCGCTGTTGTTGCAGCTCGGTAAACGTTAGTGCGAGATTTTGTTTTGTAACTTTCACAGATGCTTCTGCTCCAAGACGCCTTATACAAGGCGAGTTCAAACTATCTATCTTTGCCTTCATTTGGTTTTGGTCATTTTTAAATTAAATTATCCCAGTCTGCAATTGTGAAGTTTATCACGAATCAAGACCTGAAAAACAAACATTGATTTTTTTTAAAGTTAATATGCCGTTTATGTGGTTATTTGTCAGAAAATGCTATAATTTTTCAGAACATACCATATTTGAAGCCTGTAAAGGAAATTAATCATAAAAGTGTTTTCATAACTACCAGCAGAAGATGTTAAACAGTTTATTTTTCCCCACTTGGAAGGAGACCTCATCAACAAATGGAATTGTAGCGATGTGAAATGTCCATAAATATGACCTGTGCATGAATCGATATACTGTGCTGCAGTTCAACACGTGTCACTAACATCTGTGCGTCTGCCTTCCACAATCAAACGTGGACTTTGTGGTTCAGTTCATTCCAGCAGCGTCTGTCCTACACCATGCTGAGCGACCTGGCCTTGGCCCTGATTGACGGAACGGTGTTCGAGATCGTCCAGGGGCTGTTGGAGATCCAGCACCTGACGGAGAGGAACCTCTATAACCAGCGGCAGAAACTGCACAGTGAGCACAGAGGTAGGTCCAGCCAGGTGCTGCTTGCAGGCGTTGTGTTTTTGCAGCAAGCAAACATGCAGGGAACCGATCGCATCTGCTTCTGTGCCCGTGGCATAAAAACAGCACACGCATTTGTGTCTGCTTCTGCAAGAAGCCAAATACTGTTCTCTCTACTTCCTTGATTGATGCGGCAATGTATTTCATGGCATCTGTATGCCCCTGCTGATCATCTTACTAAGCAGTTGTTCTTGGTAGGTGTGTGGGCTGTTTAACCAGGTTGATGCACCCTTTTCAGTTGGCTGATGATGGATTAATTTATCGATTTATAGAAAGTCATGTACAGATCAAATATTAGTATTATCTAAAAATATATTGCTCTGTATCCCTGGGAATGAATCTCCCTTTAAAGAAAGCATTTTACTTTAACATTCTTGTTTGATGTGTTAGTTTACATGGACATCCTTATATTAAAACGCATCCTTGTTTTAATAGTGCGTATCTTGCTGTAGGTCTCAAACAGGAATTAGTCCGGAAGCATAAGGAAGCCCTGCAGTCCTGCAAATCCCACAACCTGGCTGTGCTCCGATCCAGCCAGCAGGCAGAGATCGAGGTACAGGTCCATACGAGTTGCATTTTCTTAGTGTGGCGTTTTTTGCCACTGGCAGAACACGCACACTTGTGTGAAATATTTAGAGATGGTATACAACAGGGTCTTGACATCCGCAAAATTTAACATTCGCGAAATCCCGCTTATTGGTGATTCGGTCGGGTCGATGGGGTCTTGGATGGAAGAGGAGCAGAGAGGGAAGAAAGCTAGCTGAAGGCCGTTAAGCGCAACTTTCAAATGAGCGGATATGATTGTGAATTTATCTAGTGGGCGAGTCTCCGCCTGCTCCCAGCCCAAATAGCCATTACCCAGCACCTGCGTCTCGGCCTGGTCTTGTTTCTGTACGGTAATGAGTGCTCCAGGCTCTGCCGGCAGTGTGGGGAGTGACAGGCGGGAGAGGACTTTACCGGCTCCCTGACGGTCCTGATAGAACTGGGGCGTCATGATCAGGGAGGCAGAGAGAGAGTGCAGGCTGGACACAGGAGGAAGTCATGTTGGTTTTAGTTAATTAACCAAACAGTTATCACATGCTTACAGTAATCAGTTATTTTACTAAGTCAATGCATTAGTACTTTAATCATATAAGGTCATATAAGGAGGATTACTATATACTGTTGTACACCACGTGATGGTGTAGGGGTGGGTTTGGTTATATGTGAATTTGGCTGTTGTAGAAACCTCATAAATGTCGAGATCCTACTGTACTATCAGTTGTACTCGCTGTCAGAGAAGTATTTTGTTTGCCACGATGGTGGGTTTTGTTTTGTATACATTTTATTTTTTTTAACATTTCACAACATTGAAGGGGGAAAATATATATAATATATTGTTTAAATCTGTTTTAAAGACCTTGAAAATGTACCACTGGATGTTCTGGGTTTCTGTTTTTTTCAGTAAAAAGATCAGCCAAACTGATACACAAGCTCCAACACAGCTAGAATACACTGCACCTCTCACTGGCGTAAGTTAAACATCCTTGATGCATAAAAGCAATGGTGCATAATTATATCAAATTTTCCCTTAAGGTATTGAGTCTCATTTATTAACCTGATGCAGTTTGACCTTGCTGGTATTTTAAGCACTGCAGTTCCTTATGTTTGGTCTGCCGGATGTGGACTTCATCAATTCCAGGTTCTGCAGTTCTCTTTGAAGTGGCCTTCATGCAATGCTGCAGTTATTCATACCTTGTGGTATTAAATAGGCTCTGGAGCAGCGTGTTAAAGATGAACAGAGAATGATGGATGAGAAGATAGTGGCCGAGATGGATCAGAAAGTGATTGACCAGCAGACTACCTTGGAAAAAGCAGGTGTTCCCGGATTTTACACTACGACAAGCCCTCAGGTATAGTATTGGCAACTGTTTAATTTGGCTGATTATAACAGATGATTCTGGAACCAAGAACATTAACACTCCTCCAAAGATTGAGGAGGCAAATACTTTGCGTGAAGTCGCCATAGATTTCCTCTATTAGAAATAATTCTTCAGTTCCCTAGTAAATTGCTTAGAAAAACCCTGTACAACTGAGGTTCTTTTTAGAATTTTACTAGCAACTTTAGGTGCTCATTAGTGATGAGGTAAGGTAAGGGTTAGAGCTAGTATCTATGGATGCTTTAATAACTTCCTATAGAATCTCAGTTGGTAGTAAACTGATCATTCACAAAATGTTGGATTCTTTGGTACTGAATGAATCATGTAATCCATACCAGCATTAGCTGGAACAAAGAATTTTAGTGAAATAGGTACCTTTTTTCTGCCTTTTCACATCTAAATGAACATGCAGAAGCTTCAGGGAAGTATTGGTTATTTCAAGGCAATGCATGTTAAAAACACAGTTTGAAAACTTTAAAGAGATGCATAAAATAATATAGAGCCCTTTTAAAAAGGTTTCAATATAGTTTAATACAGTAGTTATAACTATTTGCTTTAGAGCAGAATTGACCCATTTTCTCTAGCTCTCTCTAGAAAGGGAAAGTATTTGGTCTGAATACATCAGGTTTATACGATATGAACACCCTAAGTGCATCAAATGTGCTCCGGCACACTATTTCTCATAAAAGCCAGTAGATGGTAGTATTGGATACTTTTCATTGCATCCAAAGTAATGTGAAGTAAATTTGAGAATTCAGATCATATTCTTGATTGTTTTGTAGGAAGTTGATTTTTGCATTATTTAATGCTAAGAAGTGTGAGTTTGAGGTTTGCTTTTTTAGTTCATAAACCTTAGTTTGAGATTACATTTTCTATATTTGCATATGCTCTTGTTTTACTTTTCTAATACTTTACATAAATGGACTATCTTTTTTTATATATCCAGGAGCTAAAGGTGTAGAATTCTGGGCATAGCAAGTTTTTCATATAATTATAAAAATAGTAATTATAATTTCTTTTATAAACTTTATTGTAACTGTGAAATGAGTTTTACTCCACAGCTTTTTGTAGAAGTCTTTCTTGATTTGGGTCATTTGTGTGTCACTGAAAAGCCAGAATCTGAGTATTTTGCCCTGTGTGCAAAGGACCATATTTATTTTTGATGGACAGATTAACTGTTCTCAGGTTAGCATTGCTGGGTCAATACCCAGTAAAGCTGAATCCCGCTGGACACGCATACATAAGGTATTAAGTTTGAGTTTAATCAGACGCATCTCATTTTTCAGGGTGAACACTCATCTGGTATATTTATGTGTTGGAAAGATACCAAATATCACCGACCAATCATTTTCATCAACAGGATAGTGTCTGGATGCATACAAAAGGTTTAGGTACAGTAGTGTGGAATTTAAACCCAGGGAAGTCATGTTGAAATTGCACAATGCATTAGTTAGACTTCATTTGTAATATTGTGTTCAATTCCGGCCACCACATTACAAGAGGTGGCACAGAGGACAGCAACCAAAACTCCTTTCTGTCCTGAAGGGATTGTGTTACTGGGACAAATTTAAGTTAACTGAGTCTTTTTAGAGTGAAACAAGAAATACTGGGGTCTTGATTCGCGATTTTCAAAATCGCAAACGGCATGGACCACATCGATTCAGTGAACTTCTTCAAGGTCAACAACATTACAAGAGCTGGAGGACACCAGCAGAAATTGGGTTAAGGGCCATTCAGGGTTATAAACAGGGGAGACTTTGTTACCCATAGGTTTGTTGGAATCTTAGTAAGTCAGGTGGGTGAAGAGGACTTTGTGGAGAGTAAAATTCTCAGATCATTAAATTGGTTGTAACCAAACGAACTGGATGGAACAAATGACCTAGTCTTTTATGAAACAGTTCTGTTCTTATTTTCTGGAAATGGTTTTGCATAATGTCTAATCATTTATCTTAAACCAGGAGGTCTAAGCTTTTCTCAAGTTGGAAACCACAATTTGTTTTTTAGTCCAACACTATGTTGGCAATATGGGATTTAATTGTGTTATACAGTATGCATAATGTGGAATCGCCAACAAAGATTCGGCTGCTAGCCAAGACCCCTGTCCCTCATGGGGAGACTGACTATCTGCAGCTGTAACAAATTATTTGACGGGCATTGCTTTTTTCACCCAACGCCAAGAATACCCTTGTATGTTTTATTTTCAATCAGAAATAATCTACCTCTTAAGCTGTTGCTTTTATCCAAAGTGACCTACTTTTGCCACCACTTGTACAGCAGGGCGTTTTGCTAGAGCAGTCTGGGGAAAGTATCTTGCTCAGGGCACAAAAGCAGGGCCCTTCCTGGGATGTGAATCCACAACCTTCCAGCTGGGGGAGTCCAGATCCGGAGTTGCTATCCCACATGGCATCCTTCACCACTAGCAAAGACTGACTTGTGCGTGATTGTCACTTCATATTTCCTTTTCAGCAGCTGGCGTTTGTTGCGTGTTCATTACATTGCAGTAATGTCCATGTGTTTCTAATCCTTGTGTGGGGGTGGATAGAAACAAGCACATTGGGCCAGATAACCACATGACTGTGATTTGCATTACGGGCATTTAATTTGTTTATGCACAATATGGGATATCATTACATTACGTGCTCCCCCCCCCATAGATACTTAAGGCTGCTTTTATACCAAGAGTGTATTGTTTGGGATTCAGATCCACTTTTCTTGTTTGTTTCAGGAACTAACATTGCAAATGAACTTGCTGGAACTGATCCTCAAGCTCCAGCAGAAGGAGTCTCAGTCTGGAAGTTTGTTTTCATGAGGGTTTCAGCAAGAAACAGGTGGGGGATGTGTATCAAGTGTACCGGAGGATCCGCAAACTGCGCTTGCATGTTCAGCAGGCTATGGATCACCTGTTAATGCTGGATACTGGACGTTGGAAGATGTGAGATGAGCTAAACCATCTGTGATATCTAGGGATTACCCAGATTGGACTTTGATCGATGAAGTTCATCCTGCTTAGTGGCAATATTTAGTGGAAATGAGTTGCTTTAAACGGATCTGTGGACATGGAGAGAGATCGTGTTGTTTTCTGAACTGAGCTATTGCAGATGTCGCAGGGAGGGTACACACACGAGCAAAAGTGGTGGTTTATTTTGACTGTGCTCCCCACAAACCAACACAAATTATATGTGCAAAATTAAAATAAATTCACAAAAACTTACTGAGAGTTACGGTTTAAACCAGTAGTACCACCGTGCTTAGGTCCGATCAGCTCCCTTTCCGCTTGCCTACCTGAGGAGCTTCCTAAATAGGTATAGCCCTGCCCCCTCGGAACATACCATTGTCCCAGTAAAGTTATCTAGCTCCGAATCTAATAATGAACTTATCATTGCCCCCATAACAGTTCATTCATAATTTGCTAAATAAAATGTATTGAATGTAGAAAAACACGAACAAAACATTTTTCTCTTTCCCCTATGTTCGTAAGAAAATGGTACTTGCCATCGCGGAAGAGGTGCGCATGCGCGACTCGGCGCTGACGCCACAAAGTCCGGCCGAGGACGAGGTCAGGCTTGGACCCCTGAGGCCACCGTACCCGGAAGTGAGAACGCACGGCTGTAACATCAAGGCAGATAGAGCGCTGTTGGTACACAATTAGTACAAATAAAAAAAAACGTTATTCTTGAGTGTGCGTGCCTTAATTTTTCTACGGCTTAACATGAGCTGATTTAGAAGTAAAATGTATTTTTTTTGCGTGCATGTAATTGGAAACTGGTAGTCGATCCGCAAGACAGCTAGCCGAAGGGCACAGTGACGTTTGGACGTGTGTGTAATTAAAGTGGGATGACGTCACGGTGTGGCGTATTGTACTGTCCGCGGACGATATTCAGATACGTACAGGAAAAACAAGCTGGGAGACGTGGGCTGACCAAGTGCAACAAGGCTATGGTCGGTTGTTTTGGTGTCTCGGAAATCTGCATCTACATAATTGACAAATTCTCCTGATGGTTGTTCAGCACATCTCTCTTTGTGTGCAGAATCTCAGAATGCCTCAGGAAACGGGGAAAAAAAGTCACACCGAAAATCACCCTTGCATATTCCTGTGTCCTGCTACTAGAACAGTTTTTTTCTGTGCATCTGTTCATGTCATGTGGTGCTTAATACAGGCCTTGTACCAGACAGACTTAACTTTAATGAAGTTAAGTCTTTTCTTGTGACCTTACAGTTATTGCTGCCGTTGTTCAAGAATTGTAATGGTATTAAAAGGGAAACTGCCTTCAACTCTGCTGCTACACATCTACATGAAAGAGCTATGCAAATGGATCAGACTTCATGGTGGAACGAAGATAGTTTTTGTTTGTAGTGTCCTGTTCATCACTTTTGTGCGATAGATCAAAGAATGAAATTCACAGGGCACACAAGTGCTTGGCCAAAAATGATGGAGGAAATAACTGAAAGTGCTGCATTCTGTGGTCAAACAACATAAGTGGGGCTTGAATTTTCCCATTTACGTGTTTCTGCTGGTTCGACGTGCATTTCTCTTGTGCTTGATCAATTTTGGCTTCTGAGTGGGAGCAGGAGTTGGGTGAAGATGGGGTGATCAGGTCCATCATTAGACTACGCCTCCGCTCTATTGTAGACATTTTTACAACTCGCTCTCTCAGAAGTCTGGAGGAATCGCTAAGGATGACAGTCATCCTGGTTTCTCATTTTTCTCCCCCTTCCCTCTGGTCAGCATTATAGGAGCATAAAGGCACGAACTTCCAGATTTCATTCCTACAAACTGTCAGATTACTGAACTCTACCCCCACCGCTGGCTCACGCTGATGTTTTTTTTAATTGTGTTATTTAACTTGTTCCTGCTGCTGTTTAGTGTTTATATTTTTGGTGCTTCCTTTTACGTCTTTGTATTGGAGGGTACATGCAAATAAGCACTTCATTGCACTTGTGCGTATGACGAGAAACTGAACTGAAAGCTACTGTCTCTTTAAGGATTTAGAGCTCCGTGTTTGTACTCCACCTTCTCATTTAATCGGTCTGAAAGACAGAGTATCATTCTGCTCTTGTGACAAGTGAGCTCAAATAGAGTTGAACGTCATTGAAAACAGCGAAAAAGGTAACAACGTTATTTTACCTCCATCGTTTTTGCATAATGCCTTATTATTACAGCAAACTCGTTTCGGCGGCGAAGGTAACATTTGAGTCCGACCTGGAGATGTGACACACCGTTGGAAAAGAACAGGTTTTCATCTCATGAATACAACGCAAAGCTAAAATATGAGAAAAGAGAAGCAGAAAAACGCAAAAGCGAATATGTAGTGTCTTTGTTTTTACTGCGGTAAGCGGAGTGCGTTTCCATTTTCTTTTAAATTTTTAATGATGATGAACCTCCCCTCTCAGCAGCACGCACACGTTTCCTAATCCCAGAAACCGAATCTGAGTAATGGGCACAAATGTTTTTAATGCGCTATACAAAAAATCCGGCGACTGCTTGAATGTAATGTGCTATAGCATCATCTTTTTTTGTCCAGCGCGGCGTGGCAGTGTCACATCAGGGATCCTGCAAGGTGTGAGAAAGGTGGGCCAGGTGGCGCTCTTTGTCCAGTCCTTGCTCATACAGTACACAGCTCGTCCTCTCTCCGGGCACGGTGCGCCGCCGAGTCTTGAGCTGCGAGTCCTGAAGAGAGCCGCAGGCCGCCCTCCGGGAAGGGCCAGTTAACGCTGCATGTCGTGACTACAGGTCGGCGTGGTCGCGCCGCCAGTTTTACTGTGCTCGCAGGCGTCCTGTAGGGGAGTCATTTCATGCGCCCCGACGATCCTGTCGTTAGCCGGAAAAGAATGTCAGAATAATATTTGTATTTCGTCTTGGGAAAATCGGTAAACCATGAAACATAGTACAGAGTGGTGTACATTCGTAGCATTACATAATATTTTAGGTCAGCCAGGTAATGCCAGGTAAATTATTTTGACATAATCTTCACAATGGTGCAACTTGCTTCAGGGAAACTGTTTTTTTTACCCATAGCATTCCAAAGGCCTTTTAATGGAAGTTTGCTGTCTTGGAAGACTTCCGCCTCAGGAGTGTGGAGTGTGATTCTCCCCAGGTTTCTGTGGGTATCTTCCTGCTGCTCCATGTTCCTCCCACATTCCACAAAATACACTGGTTGGTTCATTGGCCTGTGGGAGACCTGGCCCTGGTGTGAGTGTGTGTGTCTGTGTGTGTCTGTGTGCGCCCTGTGATGGACCTGCGTCCCAGTCGGGCCGTACCCTGCCTTGTACCTGTCCCTCACTGGGATAGCCTCCCCCACAACTCCAGACTGGAAGACTGGAAACGGGGGAAACGGGTGGATGAGCAGTGGTGGTAACTGGTGTCTAATGGTTTGCATTATAGTGGGGCAGCAGGGTTTTTTCAGCTGCAGTGCATCTTGTGTTGCTTGAGCACTCCGTGATGATTTGTGCAGTGACAGCTCTGTGATATCAAAATCTCTCTTGGAGAATAGCAGTGTTTCAAAGGCCATGGTACATAAAGGTAGATGTGTTTTGTTTCAAGCAGAATAAGAAAAAAAAGTGAGAAAGGAAACAGAGAGATAGCTTGTGATTATAGGGCATTAAACACAGGAATGTGACATGATACAATTTTCTAACATCTTCAATGACATTGTTGTTGCCTTGAAACTTTGCTCGGTGCCTTTTCAGGGTACAGTAGTTGTTTTCTTTTAGAAATGATGATGTGCAATGTGATAAGCACATTATAATCTCAGTTTTAAGGGAATATAATAGTGACCCAATTCTAAAGCCTGATTTGACACACATTGTAGTGGACATTTATGAACTTTTTCATTCAACTGCAATGGTAGATAATGTAATTAATGAAGTAATTTCCTGTGGTACTAATGGATTTCATTTAGAGAGCATATAATGTATCTCCTGAGCTGGATGGAGCAGTAAGAAGATACATTATCCATCCATGAGTCTGTCTCACTGCTGTAGCCACAGGTGGCTGGTTATCAGCACAACTGGGACAAGCAGGTTCTAAGGTTTCTGTGAAGCAGCCAACTATGAATGCTTACCAAATGGATGCGTTATCATACTTGCTAATATCCTTCTAAACTTTAAGTCTCTAATCCTTCAGAGACTTTAAGGTCTCTGGGTGACCCAGTCTGTAATGGACTTGTGTCCAGAGTGCTCCCTGCCTTGTACCTGTTGCTTGCCACATAGGCTCCAGCTCTCCTGCAGCCCTGTATTGGATAACGCACTTAGGAAATGGATGGGTGGTCCAGTGGGAACTGAGCCTGGTTTTCTAGTATTGGGGTTCCCATCCCTGTCCTGACCTATCCCCACCCTTCACCCTTTCTGATGACATCATGCTACAGTGTGGTCACACAGCTGTCTGTAAGTGACCTGGATCTTCCTTAAACCCTTCGTGTGTCAGCAGAAGGGCCCTCTTGTTTTTGTATGGTTCTAGAAAACACATCGCAGTGGCTCAGCCCAATCTAGGAAATATCTGCTTAGCTCAGACTAAGTAATGCCAATATCTCAGCATTTAGATGGAGTTTATGATTTGCATTTTTTATTGCCATTTAAAAGCTCAATACAGATTTAAACTTGCAACTTTATATGTTGTTTTTAATAGGGACAGTGTACATTGTGGAAGCCAAAGACCCACCCCTGTTAATCACTCTATCAACAATTGTATTGATTAAGAGTCTCTTTCAGTAAAATATACTGCAGAGAAGCACTATTTTCTCTGCCTTTGCAGCAATGAGGGCACCAGGACTGGCTCTCTGCTGGCTCTCTGCCCTAATCTTTCTCCATCAAAGGGCTGAGCTACAAGAGAATACTGATACCATCAAAACACAAGAGAAGAGACAGATATCAGAATATCTCCAGTCTGCAGTCAAATTGCTGCAAATGTGCATGAAAACACTCTTTGTTCCAAAAGGCAGATCTGTATTGTGCAAATGACTCTGTTATCGTTTGATGGAAGGCTCTCATCTTCTCTGTGGTTTATTTCCTTCAGACAAAATGTCCTTACCCAAGAGGGCACCTTGCAATAGTAATTACGTTTGGGGGGTTGAAGGTTGAGTAGACTCTGCCATTGCTGTTCCTGAACAAGGTGCTTTATTCAGATTCCTCCACCTCTAACAGCTGTATTACTGGGAACCAACATCGCTGGTGTAACCCATCTGGTTAAAAAGGGGGGTGAGGTCTGGTCTGGCCTGATAAACCACCACATTCCAGCTTCACTTGAATTTTTCCTTGTTTCAATATTGAGAAGCAGAATAAAAACCTGAAGACTCTTTAGCTCTTCAGCACAAGGGTGGCAATTCCAGAATTAGAGTATCTCAACTTGCATTGGTGTGAAGACCCGCATTGTTTTAAAGCTGTGTGTCCTGAAATGTTTTATTTTTTAAATAGACACCTCCTGCCAGAGCCTGTCAGGTTCTCTCTGGAAGTGTTCCCAGTGTGGAGTGCTGTGCTTGCACAGTATTTAGGCAGAGGTCATAATAATGTGTGTTTCATCAGTAGACATTCCACAATGGAGTCAGATTTTCTTCGAAAAGCACTAACCCTAAAGCAGGAGAACGTGGCAGGAACCCATGGTTGTGTGAGCTCTCTGTGGAGTATACCAAAACACAGATCAGTCATATAATCACATTAGTCTAGACTGTTCTCAACCACAAATTCAGCTTGCTTTTCAAAGACTTCATTTTGTATTCTTTTCCAATCAGAATAGCAAATGTATACAAGCAAGAAACCATTAAAAAGAAACAAGCCTTTGGGATAATGCCTTTAAACATTGATATCAGTCAGCTTCATAGGCAAAAGGGGGAGACAAGTTATTATGATACATTTATTTTATTCTGGAAATGCAACTCCTGTTAAGAGATAAGTGGTGAAGATTAAATATTTTATTTGCAAATGTGTATGTTAAATTTGAATGTTTCACTTCCTGCTCACCAGTTTCATTGATGTTCAGGAGGAATATGTACTGTAGCTGGAGATAAGGTCCTGTGTTTCCCAGAGGGCCAGTTAGGATTATCATGTTCATGGCTTTTTTAGAAAACATTCTCTAGCATGACCAGAGTACAGCAGCACAAATGGTTCTTCACTACAAGTGTATCCATGTAGCTTCATGACTGCAAAGCAGTGCTTTGACCCCCACCTTCTCCAGTATTAGCTCTTTCTTGCCTGCCTCCACTGCCTTCAGGGTGAGTGAGCGCAAAAGAAAACTCCAGGAAGCCTTTGGATTTAGTCAGGACCTAAAACTCACGTCTCAGGTCCCTGCAGTGAGATTCTCATGTGTTCCTTGTTCTTCTGTTTTGTGCCAGGTGAAGATCACGATGGCGTGGATCTGAGCCCAGAGTGTGGAAGTTCCCCTTGCCTGTGGGTTGGCGGATCTCCTTGGCTGGTGCACGTCACCCTGAGAAGCAGAACCATGGTGAGCCCATTTCGGATCTGCGCCCCGGCGGTACGCTTCTGTCAGAAGCTGAACCGGCTCAAGACCTTGGAGGATGACATGATGGAGACCTCCCTGAAGAGGTGCCTGTCCACTGTGGATCTGGCCCTGCTGGGGGTTGGGGGCATGGTGGGCTCGGGCCTGTATGTCCTGACTGGCACTGTGGCCAAAGATACTGCCGGGCCGGCTGTGGTCATCTCTTTCCTCATTGCTGGCATAGCCTCCTTGATGGCCGCCCTGTGCTATGCTGAGTTTGGTGCCCGGGTGCCAAAGACTGGATCTGCTTACATGTTCACCTACGTGTCTGTGGGCGAGATATGGGCCTTTTTGATTGGCTGGAACGTGGTTTTAGAGTACATGATTGGAGGAGCCGCTGTGGCACGGGCCTGGAGTGGCTACCTGGACTCCATTTTCAATCACACCATTAAGAACTTCACAGAGACCCATATTGTACACTGGAACGTGCCCTTCATCGCCCACTATCCCGACCTCTTGGCAGCTGGCATTCTCCTTGTGGCCACCTGCTTCATCTCCTTTGGCGCCAAAGTCTCCTCGTGGCTCAACCACATCTTCTCGGCTATCAGCATGGCCGTCATCGTTTTCATCCTCATCTTTGGCTTCATCCTGGCCGAGCCGGCCAACTGGAGCAAGAAGGAGGGTGGTTTTGCTCCTTTTGGCATTTCAGGGATCATGGCTGGCACGGCAACCTGCTTCTACGCCTTTGTTGGGTTTGACGTGATTGCCGCCTCGAGCGAAGAGGCGAAGAACCCGCAGAAGGCCATCCCCATAGCAACGGCGGTGTCACTGGTCCTGGCAGCTTCCGCCTACATCCTGGTCTCGATGGTTCTCACCCTGATGGTGCCCTGGCACTCCCTGAACGCCGACTCTGCCCTGTCTGACGCCTTCTACCGGCGGGGGTACAACTGGGCGGGCTTCATTGTGGCCATCGGGTCAATCTGTGGTAAGTGTAGCAATGTATGATACCACAGTGTCCTCTAGTTTCATTTGGCTTAACAGGATTCGTTATTTGCTAAATTAGTGCAAAATGGCCTGAAATCTAGTTCTGTACGTGTCAGTTTTTCTTCCAATCAGAGCGACAGGACAGTGACTCTTTATTTCAATCACTTACATCTTCAATGTTGAAGAGCATCCTGTACCTAAAGTTAACATTTTAATAAAAAATCTTTATCTTGCATTTTTGCTCTCGAGTATTGTCTTGAACTTGACAGGAAAGTAGGATTTACTCCACTGTCACAAGACAGTAACATTCCAGAATTAAGGAATCCATTTGATTTTTGACTGTAGTTCTGATGATTTTATATTAACTTGTGTCGATGATGCTACAAACTCTTTATACCAGCTTTCTGGCTTTATAGTGACTGAAAATAGTTCTTTGAATATTCAGAACTATTAAAAGTTCTTGCAAAATGTCAGGGGGACCTGGCGGTATAGTGGTCAGCTTTGCTACCTTGCAGCACTGGGGCCCTGGGTTTAGTTCCAGACCTGGGGTGCTGTCTGCATGGAGTTTGTATCTGTGTTCTCCCTGTGTTTATGTGGGTTTCCTCCTGGTGCTCCAGTTTCTTCCCACAGTCCAAAAACATACAGCACTGGTAGCATAACTGGCTTCTGAGGAATTTGGTCCTGGTGTCTGTGCCCAATGAACCCACCGGCGTCCTGTACAGCGCGCACCCTGCCTTGCTCCCATTGCTTGCTGGGATAGATTCCGGCTCCCCTGCAACCTTGAATTGGGTGAAGCCGTTAGAAAATGAATGAATGAATGGATGGATAAATGCAATACATGAAGTTAAACAAAAAGCGTGATATTGTAGTCACAAGTAACACCAGATCAGTTTTGTGCTCTTTTCATTGATACTGTATATCCTCTCCGAACTGATCCACTTTGACACATGACATGGGGTAGCGCTAACTATGCACCTCTCCTTTCTCCACCTAGCCATGAACACAGTCCTTCTCAGCAATCTCTTCTCCCTCCCCCGCATCATCTATGCCATGGCAGAAGATGGCCTCTTCTTCCAGATCTTCTCCAGGGTCAACCCTGTGACGAAGGTGCCTGTGATCGCCATTGTGGTGTTTGGGATCCTCATGGCGTTGCTGGCACTCATCTTCGACCTGGAAGCACTAGTCCAGTTTCTGTCCATCGGGACTCTTTTGGCCTACACCTTCGTGGCAGCCAGCGTGATCGTGCTGAGGTTTCAGCCTGAGAAAACCAGCTCCTCTTCCACCTGCAGCTCGGGCACCAACCCAGAAGCCACAACGTCCGAGTCCCACCCCTCAGCCCAGGACAGCGGGGAACTAAAAGAGTACGAATCCTTCTCTGACAAGCTGCAGCTGGTGGAAATACAGAAGAAGGCCAAGGAGCGCAAAGAACCTGGGCAGCTGAAGGCAGCCTTTGAACCTTACCTGAAGTTCCTTAGCAACTTTGAACCGGGGGAGGTGGTGGCCTTCTCAGTCCTGGCTCTGATGGTGTGCACATTGTGCCTATGTGCCGTTCTGGTTTTTGGCAACAGCCACCTGGATCTGCCCATCTGGAGCTTCTCCATGCTAGTCATCATCTTCGGGTTAGGTTTCCTCACCAGCCTGGCTCTAATCTGGGTCCACGAGCCACAACACAACACAAAGACGTTCCAGGTAGGCTATTTTATTATTTTAAAACTTTGGGAGAGATAGTGAAGTTACTAAAAATAAAGGTGTTTAGAATTCTTTCTGTGCTCAGCTTCTCATCATCTTTAAGGGATAGTGAGACTCTGCTCAGAGCTGATACTTACATGTATTTGATTTAATTGAAGAGAGATTAAGCTGTTAATCTGCCTTTAATAAATTGATATACTTATGTATTTTTATTTGAGGCAACACTTGCTGCAGGGACATCACTGATCCGCTCTGTGCCCTGTGGTTTTAGGAGATATAGTGGTACAGCTACTGTTTCATAACCACAGCTCAAGGTTTACAGGGACACAGTGCATCAAGGTTAGAGATTATCGCTGACCGGTGTTTCTTGTCTGTCTGCTTTAAGTAAGATTATTTTTAAGTCTCCACAGACATCTAGGCCTCCTCACAGTCCTTCATTCTGGAGATCCAGCCATATGTGACTGTCGGTGCGGGAATTGTGCCATTCTCATTTTAGATTCTGTAGTGTGATTTATTGCAACAATTTACTTGTTTTTGGTGAGAAGAAAACAGAAACTCTTACTGAGATTATAACAAGCAAGCCAGATGGTCAATACAGGAGCCCAGAACTGGATTTTTGAATTTGGGCCTTAGTATGCAATATCAAAGTGTGAGCTTTTTTCTGGTTATTCATGCAAGAATAAAATGTGGGTCATTTAAACTGAGGTGGGGAAATATTCAGCTCCCCTCTGAAATGCAGGAGTTTTGCTTGGTTTGGTTATGAGGGGGACCATGAGCAGTGCATTCTTCTGGACAATACCAACAAACACCAGAAGGCAGTAACCCAGAGGGATGTTCTTTAATGGACCCTGGCAGTGTGACCCCCAGTCTAGGCTTCTCTTACTCTGATCCTTGTACTCCATGCCACGGTTTTTACACAGCCTGCTCTTTAATTGTTTACTTGCAAGTGATAATAGCTATGTAGTTAACAAAGGTGCTGGCTTTAGAAGAGAGCTGGGCTGGACTGGTCGGAAGAGCAGGTTTCCGACTACCCCTGGTGTAGGGGTGTGCTGGACACTGTAACTCTTCAAACCCAGATCACAACGAGCCAGAATGACGTTGATTTGCACCAGTTGTAAAAAATGGCTAATTAACTTCATACGTTTGTGACTTCTCAGGCCTCGGGTTGGTTCTCCCAAAGCTTCCACAATTTGACTAGCACTTTGTTTTTCTAGCTCTCCCTTTTCACTGGAGTTGTAAAGTAAAATGTGTTGGCAGATAAAGAGATACGAATATATTATTTGCATCTGGTGTGCTTTTTTCTTTCTGGGAGATACACAAGCACATTAAGTAGAGAGGAGATTCAGAAAGTAAAAAAGCAGACATTAAAACATGTCAAGAGAAACACTGAGCATTGTGATCGAGGACCAGTGTCTTCACAACTTTAACTCACCACAGCCGGTCTGCAGCTAGCAGATGAAAGTGAAATGGAGAGATCACAGTGTAAAAGTACGTCAAAGCAAACATAAGCAGGATTACAACACTTAGCATTTAGTGCTAGCATTAGTTACCATTGATTATTGTGGAGGTTCAAGTGGGGAGCTTTGCCAGTGTGTGCTGGCTGTATTTCAGCTTTTGACACCAGAGGAAGGCCCAACAGCCAAAATGTTGTGTTTCATCTTTTAACTTTCCTCTATGCGAATGGCATTAAGCTTGTTCCATTGATTACTGTGAGATGCTGTCCAAGTTTTAAAATTGTTTTGCTGGCAACATGGTGACTTTTGTAGTTTTTTTTGGCCTTCTTTAGTAGTCCCCAGACTGGAAGAATAATGGAGGTTTTAAAAATAGAATCGGTATTTGTTTCATAAACACCAGTGACTTGTCAGACTGTTTGAGAGCTATAGTTCTGTGTATAGACTGATTAGATTAAAGTCTAGGAGCTTGTTCATGTGAGAATGAACAAATAAACTTAGTTAAACTACTGTAGGATGTCATAAAGACCTTTTTATTTATCAATGAACCCAGCCCAGCTACTACTAAAGTACTTGCATCACAAGACACATGTAATCAGGGCAATGTCAACAGGCTCTTAGGCTGATCGTCTGTAGTGCCTGTAGCTGTATGTTCATGGATGTCTGTCCTGCCTTTGCTCCTCAGGTGCCCTTAGTGCCCTTGATTCCTGGCTTGAGTATCTTGCTGAACGTGTTCCTCATGCTGAAGCTCAGCCCCATGACTTGGATCCGGTTCTCCGTCTGGCTGGCTGTGGGTAAGAGTGACTCAGAGTCGGTTTAGTGAGGCAGAAAAGCCACGCTGTGCTGCATGGAAGGCCACCTGGTCAGAATTGTTTTTTCTATAAATTTACATCTGGACTAACGAAGGTATCCTCTCTTGGTTATAAATTAATCCTCTTCTTGTTATCTTCTCGACTTTCAGGGGCAACATGCCTGCTTATCCAAAAGGCAATAGAAAGCCCTCCGTTTGTATTGTAGAAGGTTAAACAGTGAAATGTAATATCACTGGAGAGGCAAGAGATAAGTGCGTGACTGATAGAGTGCTGTCTGTGCAGTTGTGCCAGTTTGCAAGCTGTTGAGCTTAATATGAATAGCAGCTCTGCAAACAGGCACACCCTTTAAAGCAATCAAGGTCAGGGGCTCAGCAGGAAAGAGGAGGCCAGGCCTCTGTGGGCAAAGCTTAGTAGTGCTGGATCTGTGAATCCTCTGCATCACTGTCTGTGACTGCAGTGGAATGGCCTAGTGCAATATACTGGTAATATATACTACAGTATATAGTGCAATGTATAAGTTAGATCTTTTTATAGTGCAATACACTAGTAACTAGCAAGTAATGCAATTATTTTCCCACTGTTACCTTTTCTTTTTCAAAAGAGCATAAGAGAATTTTGCATAAAACAAAAATAGAAAATAATTTTAAAAATCTCTCATTCACTCCAAAACTCTTGGCCTGTGGTAACCTTGCCACTTGTTGCTTGTTTTATAAGAACACAATCAATGTTTTTTGAACTTTCGAAAGGGCAGAGTGGACAGGTGTCTCTGAGCTCTGAGCTCTTCCTCACTGGGTGGGTGTCCATGGTGATTTTGAGTTCAAAGTTGGTGAATCCATTTGTGCTTAAATATTGGTGCTTCAGCCAGTTTTGCTTTAGAAAGAGTAAACCACACAACAGATATCAATGGATTAGAAATCAAACAGATCTCCCACATATTTTATTTTAACAAATGTGTTGTTGTTAATGCATATTGATTGTATAGAGCTGTTGCGCCCGCTGGTTGAAAATGATTTAACTGTGGCGAATACTGTACCTATGAAAATTATAACAGAACACCTTGACCTGAGGGCCTGCAGGTGTCACTGCGATTGTGCTGAAGGGGAAGCAAAGCCAGTGTTATGATGTCATTTGTTATAGCCGCACAGGCTTGTCTATGGAAACGTATTCAAATTCATTAACAAGTAATAGGTTTATTCCATGCTGAAAAAAAGAAGAAAGAAAACGCAACGTTTCGGCTGTGGAGCCTTCTTCAGTATTCAGATTAAGTCACGGGCTGGACGCAGTGCCGGTGAAGCGGGGGCCGAGCGGCGTGCGGTCTTGGGGGCCGCAGCAGCTGTCTGACTGTGTCTGTCCGCAGGGCTGGTGGTCTACTTCGGCTACGGCATCTGGCACAGCAAGGAGAACCTGCGGGAGTCCAAGCCGCGCGACGTCTGCGCCCGCTACGTGGTGCTGCCCAGCGGCAGCCTGGTAGAGACTGTGCAGGCCGTGCAGCCAGAGCCCCAGGAGCCCAGCAGGCAGATATCCCCCTCAGAGGAGGAGCGGGGCAAGAGATGAAGCCCCCGGAGGCCCCTGACCCCCAGCCGATGCCTTCAGGCACCTTCTTTCTCTTCCTGTTCTTCATCCTGTTCTGTACCAGTAGGGGGCAGTGCTGTGCCTGTCCAGCTGGGCACGGGCACTGTTCTCGCTGAGTGCGCTGGGGTCGTGCGGCCTCATGCTTCTTGTGTGCTGGTGAGCTTGCCAGTCGTCTATATCATGGACAGGGCTTTATCTGTTGTTTTCTGTGCTTCATTGTTCTCTCATTTTCCTTTCCTGTATCTTCCTTGGGTCTCTTGCTCAATCCAGGTTTCCTAGATACTCTTTAGATTCCAGTGTCCTTTCTCTTTAAACCACGTCCTTGACTGTTTCACAAGTGAATGTGGGTGGGCTTTGTTAAATGATGGATTGTCCATCCTTGCTGGTCATATCTGGGACAAGGCGCCTTATTCTGTTTTTGTCAGTAATACATTTTCAGCTGCAGGGCCGGCAGCTTGGTCATAAGGCACAGGGTGTAAAAAAGTTTTTTCTTATTGTGTGCAAACCTCATTACCCAGATACTCATATTTGATGTCCAAGGGATTTTGACTCTCTTCCAGGCCAGTTCACTTTGGCTCTGAAATGACATGGCAGACCTGGGCCTGAACCAGCACAGCAAAAGGCAATTGCAGCAAAAGACGCTTATTGTTTTTGGGAAAATATATCAAGACAAAGGTCAGTTTTAAGTGAATTAAACTGACTTTAAGGATTAAAGGATTGGACTTTAAAGATTGGAATTTGTAAAATTTATCTTTGGAAAACTGGACTCCTGGACCCTGTTAATATTTGTTTTTGACAATATTTTCACTTCAAAAGGTTGAAAACTGAATGATACAATTTAACAATGACTCAGATTGAGAAGGACTAGGTCCTCTCTTCGTGTTCCTGTGACAAAGGTACATGGTGTGTGAATCCCTTTTCACCTTCTCATCCTTAAATAATGCTCCGCCAGGCCTGTCCGCTTAAACCTGGTCTGGGGTTCTAGACACGGGGGTGAAGGTACCCTGTCTTTTAATGTAAGAATGTCATGGGTATAGTTTAGCCAGCCTGAAAAGACAGAAGTCTGGTGTTCCAAAGAAGGGTGAAAGATTGGAATGATTGCGCACCAGTAGGAATCATGTGCCCAGGAATTGCAGGCAGAGGGATTCTGCAGTAACATGCAAACTATTTTTCTTCTACTTTTTAAAGCAGATCTAGACACATTCTGTTTCTTCTGTCCTCTGTCTTTGAACACAACTGCATGCTCACGATAAATCGATGTCATTTTTGAGTCAAAAAGAAAATATTGCGTACATCACGATGAGGTACAGAATAGATCTTCTGTTATTAATGTATCCTTGTGATGTTGTTCACATTTTACTGTTTGCCTTGTGCTGTGTTGTGGAAACAGCAAAAATAATTTTGTTCGACAGGCTGAAATACATGATTTATGTCAATTTACATGAAGTATACTTTACCTGTCCCTTTTGTTCACTGTGTCATAAGAACAGAAGCCAAAAGCAGAAATAAATCTAGAGCAGAAAGTGCATTTTCTGCATAGTTCTTCAGAAGAAAGCATGAGAATGAGTTTTCTGAACTTTCAACAGAAAGGCACATACTAACTGTCTGCACAGAAAGTATCTTCACTGCACACAGTAACTGGTCACCAGCCTTCACTGTCATACTGTATGCCTCTGATATCCTGTTTTGGCCTCTTTCAATCCAATCACAGAAGAAAGAATAATGCTACTGTCCCTATGGATATTACTGATGACATGTTTTTCTTGTTGCACGTTGAAACATCAGTTTGACAAAGTGGACATTTTGGTGTAATGGTGAATACTGGGTGGGTCTCCAGAAGGCTCACATACAACGAGAGCCCTATTTGTCTTTATGATGGTGGCATCACCCCTTCCATAGAGGATGAATACCTTTATTCTGTCAATCTGTTCAAATCAATTACTGTATCTGTTGCAGAGCTTGGCTTTAAAAGTGTTGTTTACAGTACAAAAATCTACTTTTAAATCACTCTGACGAGCCATTTACAGCTTTTTATAATAACTATTTGTACGGAACTCCATTTACTACAAAATCTAAAATTGTTTTGAGACATTTGTCACATTACTGTTGGAAATAGATATATAGATGCAATATGCAAATATTGATTGTAAATTAATTAAATTATACTTAAATTTCCACAAGAAATGACAGAACTAAATCACAGAACCAAGGACAGAATTATTTTTTAGATTTGTGATTATCTATTGCAGATCAAGCTCCAGTATTCATGAAAATGGCAACATATAAATGGTAGGTTCACATGTTGTGACTGTACAGAGCAGTTGGCAAAAGAGATAAACCAGCTTTGTTTAAAAATACAGAGCATATCCTGCTGAGTTACTAACCCGAATGAGGAACAAGGTGCCAGTTCTTACTTTCAGGCCGGTAGCTGCGTCAGCATGCATAGGCCACAAAGGAACAAGTAAGAGGTTTATTCCCTGCTGAAAAGAGAAGAAAGAAAATACAACATTTCGACCGTGGAGCCTTCTTCAGGTGTGTTCTTCACACCTGAAGAAGACTCCATGACCGAAACTTTGTGAGTTCTCACTTAGTACCTTGCAAGCTTGATTGGTATTTCGCACAACTCTGGTCGTGGGCAGCTCCAGTCCTTCAGGTTTTAAAGTGTCTTCAGTCAGCAGTTGAAAAACACTTTGAACTAATTAGGACAATGACTGGTTCCTTTAACTGTCCCTTTTGTTCATGTGGGATTTACTCCCACACTCCAAAAACATGTTGGCAGATGAATTGGCTTCTGGGTGCAGTGGTCCTGGTGTGAGTGTGTATCTGTGTATCTGCCCTGGCTAGGGTGGAAGAGAGTCTGCTTTAATCCCGTTAGTTGCGGGGATGGGCTCCAGTTCCACCTGGATTGGAAGAAACAATTAGAAAATGGATGGATAGCTGTATTAAGTACAGTACCTGAATGCTCCTAGAGTGAAAACCTGAAAGCTCTGTGGTTCTTCAGCTCAAGGGGAGGAGGTCCCCTTGTTAGACTATTTGGGAGAGCCTGTCCAGCCTGAATCAGGATTTGCATTTTGTTGAAGTTTTACACTTGTGGTCTCAGGCTATGTCAGCTCATTCCCTTGAAGCAGTTGTTCTTCCAGAATGTGTGGAGCTTGCAAAAAGGCTGAGGATGGATTAGGTTCCAGCAGTTGTGGTTGGTGAACTGCTCAGGTTTTCTGTTTGATCCGTATGGCTTTACTGATATCCTCAGAACCAGCTTTTGCGAAAGCTGTGATTCTGCTTTCAAATTTGTTTCCCATTCACTTGCTGCTTTATGGACAGAGTTCCATGTTTTCAGTTTTTATTGATAGATTGCTGGTTTTTATCGTTGAAGACTTTCCAGTTTTACAGTCTTTCATTTCACTCAATGCATATGAGGGTATTTTCTGTGGAACACTAGCAGACGAAGTGCTTTTGCACTATTTCAGGCTAGAAGAGCTGAACTGTAAAGCTCACTGCAGAGCCTGTGTTCTGGCTGCCTCCTGTAATTTATGTGAGCCCATTGTACCGTGGTGTGGTCCAGGACACAGGGTAAGGTTCTGCTCATTTTCTTATTACACCAATGATATAATGTCTTGAAGATGAGTCTTATTAGAAAGTAGACTTTTTGAAAATGAATCCTTGTTTGTGGATACAACAAGGTCTGTCGATGCAGTTACCGCAGACCTGTTTTAAGAGGATACCTTTTATTTTTTCGTAATGTGAAATCAGTTTAAGCACTGTTACCTGAACGGGACTTTAGTGGTGCAAGAAGGGCGTTTCTTTCCTATGTGTGAGGCGATTTAGGTTCTTGGGGATGAAAGGAGTTACATAAGTAATTTTCAGGATATTGCTGAAGAATGCATTTATATATATTTATTTAAACCATTTTCTTTAACTCCAATTCATTTTGGTGTTAGAAATGGAAAAATATGAATTCCCTATATTTTTTTAAATAACTGAAAATAGCAGAATACTGTAAACGCTTGTATTTTCTTTCTTCTGTGCAGTGTCCTTTTCTCTCTTTTGTAACTACTGTATGCTTTTCTCATTGCCTCGGTCAGCGAAAGAAAGGGCTACCTACTGGGAAGACACACTGGTGACTGAATGGAGGAATCTATCCTATCTGAAATATCCTACTTCATCTCAACTGTGCATGTCTAATATCATGGGTCAGGGGACTATTTTAGCTCTGTCATTAAAAATGTCCTGCCGAGGAGTGTGAGTGACCTCTTGTTTATAGGTGTTTTTTTGTGGATTTTGCAAATATTTTCAATACTGGGAGACACTGAACCTAGTTTCAAACTAGTGCATGAAAATGAAATGGTACAAGATAGAAATGTGCTAGTGCTCCAATGTTCCTCCAGTGTGCCCTCCTCTTCTGTCTGCGTCACTGCTTTCCAAAGAGATCAATCTATCGTCACCACACTTTTGGCATTCCAATTGAAGAGATGACCGTTCTAAATTTTTAGTATGTGTATATACATAAAATGATAACCAATGGCCTTAATGAAGTTGTAAAAACTACTAATGCATTCCTGTATCAGACTTCTCACTTTTAAAAGGCTGCATGAAATAATGTTTTGATAATTTGGACTGTTTCTAGGAGTTGGTTGGGATGACATCGATTGAGGAGTTTCACTGCTTTGTAACCACAGGCTAAGATGAAAGGCTCTTGATTCATCTACTCATAAAGGAACTGTTCATGAGCCCTCTTCAGACTCTATTAATTGGTCCTAATCATCTGCTCAGTAATTTTAATTGAAATTGTAACTGGTCAATTAATACACAATAGACTGGAGGTTTAAAGTCTTCTCCAGTTAGTCATGCCAGATGACTCCCAGGAATGAGAATGCAAATGTTTCATGCAGCTCTGACTGTTAAAAAGCAAAATGCCTGATCTTCATTCTCCTCCAGATTGCTTTTTAACACATTTTTGTGGATATTGTCATTTTAAAAAAGATGTTGTCTTTTTATTTCTGTATTTATTTTGGTTTCTTTTCAAAGCTTTCCAGATCTGAGGGAGTAACCTGTTCAAAAGTACTTCTCTTTCACCTCTCTTTATGAAGTAGTGTTGATGAGAATAAAGAAATACACTATATACATGTAATACACTGTACTGTACCTGCATCACTATGGGAGATGTTTTCTATGTAGTGTGAAAGTGCAAGAGATGAAGCTACAAAATCCAGAAGTGGATTCCATGCCGTTCTGCAGGAGGTGGAAGGAGCAGTATTGGCCCTGAATGGAATGGGGTTTTTTCCAGCACATTACTGTTCCAGAATAAAGCTGGGCGCTGAAGGCAGAGCGAAGGTGATTGCTGCTAGTTGTCTCTCTCAGTTCTCTTGTACTCTCTCACCGCTCTGTCTCCTCTGTCACTGAGCACTGTTCAGCCCTCTGCTGGGACAGCTGTATGGACTGTAGGGTACCTGTGTACACCTGGGTAGGCTTCTTTCTTGTTGTATTTATTTAACAAGAGACTGTGATATTTAGTGAATAAATGTTTTGAAGCAGCACTGTGGATGTTGGGGTTTCTTTTTTGGGCAGCGTTATTTTCATATTTTCATTTTTAAAAGTCTCCTGCAAGCCAGCTCCAGAATTCGAAGAAGTACACGAGAACATGGAATCCTCACTTATGTCTTATTATGCCCCAATAAGAAACATCTTGGTGTCTCAGCTGCCATGCTGAGAGTGAGGAACTGCAGGCAGCTCCCCATCATTCACCCAGTCCACCCAGTCCACCCATTCAGTGATCACAGCACACAGGAGGTAAGCACTGAAGGGGAGGGGGGGAGGTGTGATGCCACTGATCACTGATGCCACCACTGCTTTGGGAGTAGATTTTAGATATGCAGTAAAAAAAAAGACTTGCTGTCTTCATTTCAGTTATTCATTGGATCGTAAACTCCTTTACGGGTACTTACTGCATTATTTATGAGTGTCTCACCATTGTAAGGGAATGCAGATTTCTGGAACTGAGAGATCTTTTCCATGCATCTATATTTGAACAGCTTTATCTATTAGAGGGTCGTAGGGAAGCCAAAGTCTATCCCAGCAAACAACAGGCACAAGGCGGGACACACCCTGGGCAGGACACCTGTCCTTCCCAGGAGAGAAAAGTTAATGACCTGTTATTGTTTTCCAAACATAACAAGGTAGACATTCTGAGACCAGTTCACCCAGTAAAGAGGTATTTTTTAATGTACCTTTAGTGGTTTCTTGGTAGGGCCTCTCTCTAATTAGAGCACTTGAGGGATTTAGAATAATGTCTGAGATTTTAATCCTTTTGAAGACAGGAATTAGGGGAAGCCAGTTAGTTATGGAAGAATTAACCTTGTAAATTATCTAAAGTCATTTCTAATGGGGTGGTTGGAGAACTAAGACAATGTGGATAAAAAGGGTTATTCCTTGAGTAAGCTAAATTGACTATAATAGGTCTTTAACAGGGGTTTCTGAGTACATGAAGGCATTCTTAAATGACCTCAACAAGAGGAAAGTACACTTAATATTGTATTCCAAACCTGAAAGATCAAACTGAAGACTCCTAAGGGTAAGACGAGTTACAGTAAATGTCAGCAAAAACAAAAGAGAAATAACTGAAACATGCTGCATGAAAGTCTTCAAAAGCAACTTTAGCTGTAATCATAACCTAAACAACATTGTTGGTCTCTACCAACTTTGCACACTGGTTTGGTGCAAATCCAAGAGATTCGGATATGGACAGTGGTTTCAGCTCTTTCCATTGATTCTCAGTAGGATTCAAGTCAGGCCTGGCTGAGACATTCAAGCACATTCACTTTCTCATAAGCCACTGCAGTGCAGCTTTGGCCTCATCTATGCATCTATGCTCCAGTCCCTGCTGACGAGATGCGGAACTATAACCTGATTCTGAGCAACATGTGAACCACTGTCATTGCACACAGACTAATTGTATGAGTCCATTAGGCAATGCTCCAAAATAATTTACATTGGTGTCGGCAAGAGGTCTGAGTATTTATGCCATCTGGACTATTTCATTTTCTATTATCTATTTACTTCTTCTTTTTTTGGTCTTGAATGTGTGGAGAAGGTTGTGTGTATACCAATATTAATTGTTACCTGAAAGAGTCATGACTGCAAATTTTAAAACAGCAAATTGTGAAAACTCTGTAAGGGTTTCAAGTGTGAATATGTTTGCAAAGTATGGTTCTATAATGTAGACACTGCTATTCTGAGTTTGTGCTACTGTATGTCATTACCAACCTCCTCTGGTGAGGAATCTTAAATACAGGCTTTTGTTGTTGTTTCAGCTGAGCTGGGAGACTTACAATGTAAAACATTTTACATTTGTATTTCACATTTCATTTGGGTATGCTTAACATCCCCTGGCTCTTGCCACAGATGACCAAGTGTATTGTTCTACGTAACGAACAGCTCTCTCTGAACTGCCTTTTGTTTGCTTCAGGGGTCAATGTTAAAAACTGGCTAAAGTGTACACAGTATATGTGCCTGATGTTCAGCTTTGTTCTTTTTGAAGACTAATAGCCTAAGTCAGAAAAATAAACCACAAATTCTCTCTGCTAATTGAAAAGACAGTATGATATTTGTTTCGTGCATTGGTAAAAGCTACCCAAGCGTCTCATAATCACCTTTCCCTTGCTATGAGAGCACAGATGTCAGTTTGTCATATTATCAGGCCATGGTAATCCAGTCTCAGCCACCTCCAGTAATCACGTGTTCCTGCAGCTGGCTGAATATCAAAAGGCTTTCCAGGAACAAGGCTTTCAGAGTGAAAAGGGAAGGCAGTCATCCCTCTTGGGATGCTGCTGTGGAGAGCAATGTATTATTTAAAGGGCATACTGGCACAAAAATGAAAAAAACTCAACTGTGTAGTTAAAAGCGATGAGACGTAGTGAGTGTAGCTGACGTTTTACGTAGTTGGGAAATTTACCCAGAGCCCAAGTGCACAGTATTAAAAGGAAGAAACTAAAACAAATTGTATCTAATCTGATGAAGTGCCAGATTAAGATGGCTGCCAGGGGCACGATTGCTTTATTTAGGTATTTAAATAGGTAGTCATATAAAAAAGCAGAGTAGCATACAGGAGGCCAAGTGTCAGGGATCCGGCCAATTGTTAAAAAAACAGCATCAAGAAGAGTGTGGGCTGCAAGCCCGTCTGTCATGAAACACTGAGCCATTTTATTTACTGCTGTGTTTACAGCAAACAATTTCCCATATGAAACAGGAGTGGGCAAACAGACAGAGTATAGTCAGCAAGATAGATGACAGAGGCCTGTATTCATCATGAACTTGCTCTGCTTGTCTGTACTGTTGCCATAGTGAAACCCTTCCACCCCCACAGAGGCACACACACCTCACTGCGCTTGAAACCATAGGTGTGTTTGTCATACCCTGGCTGTCCTTGTTTCTCTGCAGTGAAATGAGCCCTTTGTCGAGCTCACAACAGACAGCCCACCGAACGCAAACCGACCTTAATCACTCAGCAGAAAATCCATTGGGATATGAACAATCCTCTTTCCTTGTTGCAAAGGAAGCTACAAAGCTTGGTTCACAGTTATTAAGCGCGTGAATCGGTCCTAGGTTATGTCCCATTTGGGATAGGATAGATTAGACTTTCATTGTGACTTAGCTTTTATTTCCCTTACGATTTCTCGGCAGAGAAGTCTTCTGTCGTTTGTACTGCAACACTGCTGACGATAACAGCTAATGAATTAAATTCACACACAGGCTGCAGTTGGATGAACTTTTTAAATTATGCATGGGCATTCATTGTGCAAAAGGAGGTTTCTTTTTGAGTTGTTTTTTTCATGTTGCCCACCCTTGTTTATTGTTTTTATTTTTTTAATTACATTTCTAAGTTCGAGTGGCACAGTGGTTAGGGATGAATGTATTTCCAAGCCTTTTTTTATATGTTGGAATGTGTTACTGCCAATGTGTGGAAATGAGCATAGAAAAGGCCCCACAATAAAGATAGGAATTCCTAAAAAACAGAATGTAAAAGCCTTTTTCATATAAAACCAATGACATCCATCTACTTTTAAATCTTAAAGTATCCAAACTAAAAATTAGAGTGGGTATCAAAATTGCACTGATAGAGGAATACAAATGTCTTTGAAAATACAGTATCAGCACTAGCTTAACATTTCACTTTTCATATTCTGTTTCCCATATCTGTAGACAGGAAGATATAACACAGTCATGTGTTCCTCAGTCTTCATCCTACAGATGCCCTCAGAGCACAGTTCTCAAAATAAAGTAGTGTTTTGTAAAAAGCTGAGTGTTATGAAAGGAACTTAAAACAGAAAAGAATTTAATGTGAATTATAAAGTGTTATATGGGTCTAAATACCACAACCAGCAAACCAGACTACAGTATATTAAACATCAATTCAACAAAATTTGAATTTGAAGGTGTTGAGGCCACCATAGAAACTATACCGATGCTTTTAAAATGATCTTTGATGATATGAAGATTGGGTCATCTAACCGGGTGAAAAATATTTGTGTTCTTCTCAATCATAGTTTATCATTTGTGATCTATAGCAGAAATATTACAGGATATTCTTTCACCTGCAATGATACTTTGTACTGTACAAAGCACCGAAGAACATGGCTCATTCCTACCTCATAGACTTTCTGATCTATAGCACTTGATCTTGAAAGATCATCATGTCAAAGTCCGTCTTACTCTGTGTCCTATTAAGCCAAGTCAAAGCGCATTTCTCCAGGCTAGTGTTTCCTAGCCTTTAATAAATTCAGTTTTTTTCTTTCAGCCTCAACATGTTCTTTCCAACAATGTACTTCTAGTTTTTTTTCCCATTGTAAAGCACTTTGAGATGTCTTTACCTGAAAGGCACAATATGAAATACAATTTTTATTATTAGGTGTTTCTAAATCGGTGAATCCATCTCCAGTGCAGGAGGGAGTCTGTCACCTCTGCATTTATTTTTTTTGCAAAAAAGCACTGTGGAACAGAAAAAGGACTTTTACTGACTTTGCTGCATAAGAGCGCAAATCCTTTATCCAAATCACATGGATGGTTTCTTTAATCTGATGCTTTCATAATGTAGCTTTAAAGGAAAGTACTAAGCTCACGTATGTATATGTCCTTATTGTTGTTTTTCCGAATAATTACATATTACGGTGGACCAGAAGAGCAACAGGCAAGCAAATAAATCATATGTGGCACAAACTAAAGAAATGCAAATTGAAAAGATGTTGTCCAAACTAAAAAGAGGAGAACTGCAATTTAAAAAATGTGTAAGTGCAAATTAAAAAGTGAAGATAAGTGATCCACACAGATCTTGCCATTTACATATGATTTATTTGCTTTATTTACTAGCCAGAGCCTCTGTGGATGGACAGGCAGGAATTGATCAAGGTAGGAACACAAAGGCAGCCGAGAACACGATCACACAAACAAAACTAGCGCCACCTGGTGTCGGATACTCATGAATGATTACAGTTTTCATGGTAGATATTTTAACTCTTGAATCTTGTCTAGCACGGATAACATAAAAAAAACAAGTCCAAGAAGGAGCTGATGTCAAGGGGCTGGGCCTCGGGCTCTCCTGGCTCCTGTTACTTCTTTTTTGGCCGGGCCGCGGAGCCACGGCCATGGGAAGCCTGCCTCAGCCGGGAGCAGGGGCTAATGGCGGAGGCCTCTTCTGGGAGAGAGATCGCAGGGGCCAGCCTGTATGACGTTGGTGATGGAGACGATGATGATGGAGCTGCAGGAGATCGCCGATCCCGGTGTCCAGGTATTTCCCCAGCCCTCCTGCCGACTCCCAGCTCCTGTCCCATACCACTGTAGGGGTCTCTGTCACTGGAGAGGGCAGATGGGATGCAGTGAGCAAGGTGGGATTGAAGAGATGCAGGCAGAAGATACCATGCCAGCTAGCTTTTTAGAAATTCTACCTTCTGAAAAGAAGGAAGCTGATCTAATTTACTAGATCACTTATTATTTGTTAGTGATGAGAATCACACTGAATGTTTCGAATAACTGGGAAAGGGAGCAGCAGGGGTTCGGAGTCTTACCCTGTGCTGTGGCTCGGGGCTGCAGGGACAGGCTTGCTCTGAGTGGGACTGACGTCTGCGTGTGACCAGAGCTGCTGAGGAGAGAGCACCTGCAGAGGCCGGACAGACAGGAAACGATAAGTGGAGTAGTAGCAGTGCAGGTAGAAGATAATAAATTACAGGAAGAACAGTTTGTGTCGCACGGTGCATTTAGCTGTTTTTCTGCTTAAAACGTCTGCAGAGTACAGCAAAGATGTTTCTTCTTATGACTACAAAGCTTTATTTCACTTTCATACATCTTTAATATTTTTGTACTTAAAAGAAAATAACACATTACTCAAAACTGTCACAAGTCACAATGATTTACAAACTATTTCCAAGAGATCCAAAATTGAAATTAATTATTATACAAAATGTACATATAGTACTTTATTTAAAAGCATAAAGGCATAAATTGTGATGACCTTATTTTGATGCTCAGTATACATTCTTTTAAATGTTGTTCTAGTGTTGTTGATCAGGGATAAACTAGGAAATGTTTTTCACTGTTCATGCTTGTATTTCAAACATCTCTGTTTAACAATGTTTTGTTGTATATTAGGATCTGTGGCTTGAAATACAGTATGGCTTCAGTACAGCACAGGATACCACTGTGCAATTTATTTCATTATATAGCAGCATCAACCAAAAATCCCTGTGTAGCAGCTATTGCCTAGCCCTATTCCGGAGAGCCACAATTCGTCAATTTTTATAGGCAAAGCGGAAATAAATTATATTTAAAGATAGATCAATTTCATTTTGACCAGTCAAGTGACTAATTTCTATTAATTTTAGTAATTCACAGGTCATTTAGATTGAACATTTGAGAGCAATGAAGCCTTCAAGGATCAGGGTGGTTAATCCAGTTTTGCTATGTTGATTAAAAACATAGATAACTTAGTATCGTATCTATAAAGTGATGACGAAGTACCTATGAATCCTTCTGGGTTGTTTTTTTTTCTTGGACACAAAGTTTATCCTCCTTCAAACATTCTTCATTTTCTCCATCATAAATTGTTCTCTGCTGCTGAGGTACGTCAGACAGCCATTTTGTTTGTGTTGCAAAAACTTGTTCTCCTCAACAACTTCTAATCACATCGTACAGTACTTTCTCAAAGAGAGGGGAGAAATGTATAGGCCCCAATGTTATCCTGCCAGACTGATTTACCACAGAGTACGCGGAAGTCCCACAGTGTACCTGTTGGAAGACTAAGGACCTGAGATTTTGAACATGCCCACCTTCATCTCCCTCCTGTGGGCACTGTCCCTCAGCTTGTTCAGGCTGTTCCTTAGGCGGGAGTTCTCCTCCTCTAGCACACTGATTCTTATGGAGTTGGCCTGCATCTGCTGTTCCATGTCCAACAGCACATCCCCTGTGGCTGAGAAGACGGTACAGAAAACATACAGCACAATGAGACATGCTTTGAAAACAAGCCAAAGAATATCACATTTCTCATCCACTGAACATCTTAAGAAGGCAAAAGTTGTGTGCTCAGGACAAGTCTCTTTATCCAGTGAGAATGAAACAGCCAGTGTACAGGTAAAGGAGAGAGGCTGGCCTTACTCTCAGGAGCACACGGGGTAGGATTGCAGAGATCTGGGAAGGCCACTAGCAGTCTTTCTTTCTGGGCTTGCTCCTGGAGCTGCCCCTGCAGTCTGGACACCGCTCCGTGCAGATCCCCAACACTCTTCTCTAGACGTTCCTTCTCCTTCTGCAGCTCCTCAGTCAGGGCCTAGAGAACAAACAGAATCCTTCTCAGATCCCACGTAGGATACAGCAATTTCAAGCTCCAGTATTCCTCTATAACACTTTTTTTTCAGTGGTAAATCCATATTAGAATAATTACAGCTGAATCATGGCAAACACATGAAAAAGCATAACATGCACCATGGGTAACTGATAAAAAAAACTGTGACATGATCAAGTATAATTTATATTCAGCTAATGGTCACCTGCGATTTACTGTGATATGCATTAGTGAATATACGTATCCTGTTCAAAATCTCAAATGCCCACGCAGAATTCAAGGACAGGTCTCTTTGATTTTTCTTTCACATGTAATGGTAGTGTAATGTGGGCAGAGCGAGATGTGCATATATGTGTTGTTGCATGTCTAGAACTATTGTTTGTTTCAATGTGCGTTTTATGTTGAGTGTTTTTTTTCTGTTCTTTTGAATGTTGACGTCAAGGATAAATTTCCACCCTTTTGGATGGACAATAAAGTGGTGTCTTATCTCCCGGCGAGCCTGCAACGCTGATGTCAAGCGCGGTGTGTGGGCAGGCACCTACCCGCTGCTGCGCGAGCTCGGCCTGGAGCCCGGCTCTGTCCTGGCTGCTCTCAGACAGCCGCTCCTCCAGCACTGCGCTGTCCTCCTCGCTGTCCGCCAGGCGCTGCATGAGCACCTCGCACTCCTGGTCCAGGGCATTGACTCGCTGCACCAGTACCTTCTGCTTGGCCTGCAAGGACTGGCCAGCGCAGGAAACACAGCACGGCTATGAGACCGCAAAGCCCCACCCTTCTCTCTCGTTAGCACCTCCAGACAGCTCAAAGAGGCGGGTCAGTACAGCCCACCAACCTGCTCCATTTAACACCTCTAGTGTCTTGTGAACTTGTGAACGAACGGAGGAAAAACTCATTGTTTTCTTTCAACTTCTGATCCTGAACAATTCAACAGAATCTGTGATGGTGTTCAGATGTTGAAACCTGTTTTATGCTCAAGACTCCCTGGGAAGCTTGCTCCCAAGATACATCCCTATTTTTGACACTTTCTGAGAAATGTGATGCCTGCTTTTTAATGAGCCAGTGAGTTCTCATTTTTTGGATCGAGGTTGTTATGCATTTTTGGCATATCAATGTCTTTCATTTTTAATGCTGTTTCCAGCCCTAGGCAGGCCCTGATAGTGAGTGGTTCCACTATATTGAGTACTTTCTCATGGGGTGTTACCTCCTGCAGCCGGCCCAAGCTCTGGGTCTTGACTCTCTCCTTGTACAGCTGGAGTTCCGTACTGCAGAGCTCTGTGTCCAGGCTTCGAACCCTCTCTTCCAGTCCTAGAGTGACCTCTCGATCCACCAGCCTTGTCTTTATCTCCTCTAGGAGCTCCTGTCTCTCCTGCTCTACAAAGCAGCAACACTCACTTTTTACTCGATTCTTGTGAAAGACGTAAGCATTCACGTGTACTAACTCAAGAATTGTAATTGCTAAATTCAATTGGAAAAGTGCCTATTGCGAAACCTCCTATAATGTTACATCCATTCATCCATTTTATAACTACTTCTTCCAATGTAGGGTCACAGGGGACGCCAGTCCATCTCAGGGCACACACACAAACACACACTCACACCAGGGCCAGGAGCTAATTAACCTACCAGCATGCCTTTGGACTGTGGAAGGAAACCCATATGAACAATCGGGAGAACATATAAACTCCACACAGACACAACTCCATGTCTGTAATTAAACTCCGGGCCCTGGCACTGAGAGGCAGCAATGATAACCACTGTGCCCCCATGCCACCCTGTTACTGATTCATTTAGAGCCAAAATGCTGCAGTGGGTGTTCTGTAGCACTCATTTGCCTAGTCTCTGATTTAAACGTCTTGACTAGATGTCTTTCCTACTTAGTTCAACTGTCTACATATTCACCAAACAAATTAAACAGTTAATGTTTTTAGATCTGCTTTTGGTGCTGTAGCACCTTGCAAGTAAGAAAGTACACAACATTAATGAGCCCATAGTTTGAGATGCGCATCATTTAAAAAAAAATACTAATTATTATTCTTGAGTGGTAAAGAGATGTTACCTAGTTTTTGTAAGCTGTCCTGCTGTAAACTTAGTTCTTCCCTCAGTTTTGAGTTTTTTTCCTCCAAAGACAACGTTTCTGGAACACAGTAAGATTTTGTGACTTCACTCTGCCATCTGAAACCGTATTACAGTATTCCATCCAAACAAGTTTTTAAAAAGTGAAAAAGGGAGCTTTTTAAGAAGTTGTTCTGTCTGTAACCAGTGGCCACTATCAGTGGATCTACGATTAAACAGATACCATGTGCTGAAAGTGATCAAATAATATGGGGAAGTTAATTTGTGTTCCAAAGGCTTCAAAGCAGTTTTTCAGAAGTGGGGATCAGTGGACTATATGAAATTAAATGGCATACCCACTGTATTCCCAGCTATGAGAAACAAGAAATCTGTACACAAGCAATTATTCCTATGACTATTCTGGAACTTGATGGAAAATTTAAACAAAATACTTGGTGCTGGGAAACTATGAAAGCTTTAGCTAAACGTACCAGTTACCCATGCCTGTGAGAACATCAAACCATCACAGAGGTATGCTTATTTGGTCTTGTTTTTCTAATCCCATAGGCAGAACTCTGTTTTTGGATTTAAAAAATCTAAGTTTGAATTCCCTTCGAAATATCCCCTGGAAAGGGTCAAGAGTTGGGAGCTGGGGGAAAACCAAAGGACCTGTAGAAAAGTCAACTCAGCTCTCCAACACAAGGAGAACCCCTTATGATCCCATCAATGACAGTTGTGTCCTCAGTCTGACACTGTGTGGTTGTGGTGAGAACAACCAAATGTCCTTACAAGCACACTTTTTGGATCACGCTTGTACACTAGCTGTGTCTCTCCTTAGATAGTTGAATAGCAACTGATCATTCTGGATTGATAGATAGATACTTTATTAATCCTGTGAGGGAAACTGCAGATTGGCGCGTTAACATGCAACACTATTCTTATTTGTCAGTTTATTCTCCATTCTGTTCAGCCTCACCTTTCCTCAGCTCCTCCTGCTCCCCCTGTAGTTTGCTCACAACCTCTGTGTTTTTGGTGTTCATTTTCTCCAGCCGGAGATCCATCTCCCGCAGTCTAGTCTGGTGTTCCTCCTTTTCCAGCGACAGGACCCTCTCCATCCTCTCCAGCTGGTCCCTCAGGACGCCCCTCTGGGCCTCTGAAGCAGCCAGGCTCTCCTTCAGGGGCTGCACCATTCCCAGCAGCGCCGCCAGGTGCTTGCTGATCCGAGCCAGGTCTTTGCTCTGCTCTGACGCCCAGTATGCCAGGTCAGAGGCTGACAGCTGTCCATTTTCCAGGGAGCTATCCATCACCTCCATGAAGCGGGCCAGTGAAGAGGGCAGATTCTGGGTTTGGCACACAGCAATGAGGGCATTACTCACCTCCCTCAAGCTGGCCTGTGAGCGGGAACAGGCATCACAGGGCACCAGGGCAGATTCCAGGGTCTGGCAACCTACAGTGCGGGTGTCTTTGGCAATACCGGACTTGGAGCATGTTGTACTGTCCTTACCAGAGCTCTTGCCGGATGTAGAGCTTAGTGGGCAACTCAAGTTACTGTTCTCAGCACTCTTTAAGGTAGGTGCTGAACTGTTTGCATTCTCTCTGGAAGGGACCTGCTCCTCAGCCTGCAAGGTGAGTGCTCCTTGCTCCATTTTTTTCCCCTAAATAAACATACAGATTTAAATCACTTTAAAGGGGCATTTCAAATTTCTGAAAATGCCAGGTGAGTTATCCGTCAAACTTTCTGGAAGTTGCAATGCTCATTATTCTTTTTAAGAAAATACAATTTCACACGGCTATTTGCTTAATAGGTTCAGTGCCATAAGAATAGGCACAGAAAAGCTACAATTTCTATTTTTGGTTTTTGCAAATCAGATTTGAGATGAAAAGATGAATATGAGGCATAAGCACTATAAATCTTTTTCACATCTTTTACCTTCTCTCAACAATTCAGATTTCAATATCCTTACAATATATTTCTCTAACTGAGTACTGTTTGTAGATTTCAAGAACTAAGACATTTTGTAACGTTTTTCAGAAATATGACTAAATAAATCATTAATGCAATTCTTATCAGTGACCTGTCGGAGTGTGCATTGATGAAGGGTCCCTAGTCTGAGAAGGTTGTTCCAGCAGCATCTGACTGCCAGTCCAATGGACGTGGAGGGCCCAGCTGCCCCAGTCTGGGAACCGCTCCTCTGTCCTCCCAGCATGCCCTCGGTGAAGCCACTGAAACTCTGCAGCAGCAGCACCAGCCTGGCAGCACAGACAACATCACTGCCTGTAAGTGGAACTCACACCATCACGCCTACAACACACACCAGCAGACACGGGCTGACACTTGGCAACAGATGTTGAGTTCTTGCTTTTTCAGTGCTCTGATGCTTTTTTTGTTTCTTTCACATGATTGCTGACATGAACACTGTTAAAGGAGTAATATCCCCTGCTGAGAGAGAAACAATCAGACAGAGCAGCAGCAGGGCTCTGAGCTTATTGGGGTACTGCAAAGACACCTCAAAATCACATTTTTTACACTACAATCATTTGGTAAGTTAGGAAAGTAATGTGCTAATAAAGCAGTAATACCACCTTCAGATATTGTTTTGAAAAAGTCAAATGTTATTATTTATTACATTTGTTATTGATACAGATTTAAAATGTATTACAAGGACAAAGATCAAGAGGGACACCTCAGCAATCTTGTACTGGGCCTCCATTGTACTGAGCTACATTAGTATCGTAAATATTCAGTTGAAATTGTAGAAACATAAAGTACTTACTTAAAACAAAGGTGGGGGAACAGAATTAATTTCAAATTCACCGAAGGTTTTCACTTTTCATAGGGATTGCTTCGTATTAAACTCAAAATTAGTCTGTTTCCAATTTGAAAGCCACACTTTTTCTATCAAAGGCAACTCACTGCTGCCACCCAGTACAAGAAGCAGGAAGACAACACTTTGCGTTTATTTGAGCTCTCACTTTCTCAACTAAGTGTGTGGGTTATTCATAAAGGCTTAGTAAATACTGTGTGGACATGAAGTAGAAGGAACAGAACCTTACCTGTCCACAACCAGCTCCAGCAGCACGATATGGGAGTGCTGGTTGAACTCCTCCTCACCCTCCACAAAGTCATACTGCTCCAGGAGGGTCACCAGGTCTAGGTTACAGGACAGCTTGTCGGGGAACTTCCAGGAGGGACTGCGGATCGGGCCGGTGCGGGAGAACACATCCAGGACCGTGCCCTGGAGGTCAGTCAGGTCCCTCCGCAGGCTGTCCACGCAGTCCTGCCGGCCCAGCAGGTGGCTCATCTTCCCCAGCCTCCCAGTCTGCTGTCGCTCTCCGACCCTTCGAAGAAGCGTTTGCCAGCTGAGACTGCGATGCACACAATAGCCCAGACCTCCACAGCCTCATGGTCTTCAGCGCTACTTCCCTAACACCCTTGACAACTGAAGACGGGTCTTTTTTCTGTTTTCTTTTCCTTTCAGCAGGAATAACCCTTTACCTGTTACTCTGCAGCCTGCGCAAGCCGACGCAGCTCCCTGCTGGAACTTCTACCTCCCTAACTCTTATTAAACGCTATTTTGATCCCTTTCGATTTTTCTAACCCAACAATAATCTTCTCATTTTTAAATCTATGCTACTTAATGCATCATGACTACTGTAATAATTTGCAATCCAGGCCCTAGAGGAGTACTGAAATTGGATCTAGACAGGAGCCTGTAGGTTTTATGGGAAAAACAAACTCTTCTATTACTAAAGGCTTGGAAACAATTGTAATTAAGACCAATTAATTGCGTTTTTCTTAATTGATTGATTGTCATTAAGCAGTCAGTGAGGAATGGAAACCAGAGGACCTTATAGCTTGCCAGGGCCAAGAGACAGAATCACTGTACTAGTGCATTCTCCACAATGTTTAGGAGTTTAAATATCAAAATGCATCAATGAACATCAATACAGATAGGCTTGATGGGAGAGGGGCAAGGGCTGCAGTACTGATTTGGGAAGCACTGCTGTGAAAGAGTACAAGGCTTTTTAATAAAAATACCTGACTGTCTAATTAAGTGGTTTTAGTCATGGTTGCAAAGAGCACCTGTGTCTTCTGGGTTTGACTAACTCAGTTTTGCATTACTTAACTGAATACTTGAGCTATGTCCCTAAGTGCTCAAAACGATTGGAAATGTCTTAATGAGACAATTGTTAGTTCAATGTAGCCTCAATGACAAAGAGCAAAGCTGAAATGAAAGCCAGAAAAGACATCAGACCAAAACACACAAAACAAAACAAAGGCACAATAGACATATCTGACAAAACTAAATAAGGCATTTATTTAGGCAGGACCTACTATAACAAGTTGAGTCGATAATAGAGTACAACTATGAAACTGTATTGTTGAATCAACACCTTCTGGCTGCTATCGCATATTAGTGTGGTGGATTGAAATTGAATACAGTCATGGCATGACTCAGTTGAATGTACTGTAAAGCAACGTATTGTTAAGAAGAGCTAACAAATTAATTAATATAAATAATAATCACAAAATCCATTAAGAGTAGAGTTACTTACCAGGATTTCACTCCTCAGGCTCTTGTGACCCCTTTATATACATGTGATTGCTTCATTAGAGTATAAGTATAACTGAAGTTTCCTCCTTTAACATGCTCTAAAAAAGTATCATTTTCAGATTACTTACAAGTTTCGAATGGTAAATTGAAAACCCCAGAGCTGCAGTTCTGAAGACTATCAAAAAACCTAGAAGGAACAGTGAAATGTGAATTAAACCCAAGGGCACAAGTGGAGCCTACATGCATTTAAAACTGAGAACTGGAGGCCCTTCACTACGCAAAGGGTTGTGGAAGTAGTCTCCTGGTTAAATGTGGGGTAAATTAAATAATCACAAAATCAGACCGAACAAAACTCAGCACACACTGGAGTCATTAGAAACAGGGCTGACACTTGAGTCGGCAGTCTTCAGAGATTTACAGTAAGTCACAGCTCTCCGTTCAACATTCAGCTTGGTGACCATCGCTCTCGAAGTCACCAAAAAAGAAAAAAAGCAGACAAGCCAATGCACTTGCAGAAATCATGCTCCTGCTGCCGACACACAGTAAAAAATCAGATGATACATCAAGAAACACTTACTTGTCCTTACTCTATGGTCATTGCTAGAGCTTTCGTGTTTTTGTTCTTCTGTTTTCAGTTCGATGAAATACAGCGAAACGTCCCTGTTTTATTTGATCGTTATGCTCTTGAAATCCTCAAGCTTCCATCTGTTGTCCCCTATTTCCATGGAAACAACGGACAGGAAGTCGCCTGAGGATGACGTCATCTGAAACTCCAGCTGTCGAGCCATTTTATCAGGAGGCACTGGCTCGGACATTATTTGATTGCTAAGAATGACAACAGTTATAACGTAGCCTTTTTATCCAAGGCGACCTATAATTATATTCAGAATTATAGTGCCACGGAATTTTGAACTGGCCTTAATATTAATTTTGTTAGCTTTTCGCTTGTTTTTGTTTCTGTAAACGTGTATACATTTAATATTTTTTTAATATATATATATGTGTGCGGTTGGTAGCTCAGGATAAGGGCGCCTACAAAATTAAGACAAACATAAATAACTGTAAACATTATTTTTAATTTTGCAAAAACACACTGAAGAGCAGTAAATAGTTAACTGTTATTTAATGAAAAGCAACGACAGAAACAGCGAAGGCTGTGGAAACTATGGCGATACTGAGATGAAAAATATATTTCAAATATGTGGTACACAGGAAATTGCAATTGCTTGCAAGTCCAGCAGCCATATCACCCTGCAACTCACAACTGGCAACCCACTGAAGCTAAGCAGGTGTGAGCCTGGTTAGTACCTGGATGGGAGACCTCCTGGGAAAGCTAAGGCTGCTGCTGGAAGAGGTGTTAGTGGGGCCAGCAGGGGGCGCTCACCCTGCGGTCCATGTGGGTCCTAATGCCTCAGTATAGTGACGGGGACACTACACTGTAAACAGGTGCCGTCCTTCAGATGAGACGTAAAACCGAGATCCTGGCTCTTTGTGGTCATTAAAAATCTCAGGGCGTTTTTCGAAAAGAGTAGGGGTGTAACCCCGGCCTGGCCAAATTTCCCATTGGACCTTACCTAATAATCCCCCTTTATGATTTGGCTACATTACTTGTTCTGGCAGCACTATAGCTGCCGTCGCATCATCCAGGTGGATGCTGCACATTGGTGGTGGAGGGGATCCCCATTACCTGTAAAGCGCTTTGAGTGGAGTGTCCAGAAAAGCGCAATATAAGTGTAAGCAATTATTATTATTAAGTCGGCCAGCAGCGAACTGCATTTCCCACAATCCCAAGCGAGGGGCACTCCGGAAGAGGAGCTCCTTTCGTTTCCGGGTTACGAGAGTTACGCGAAACGAGTTCTTCGTTGCGGGCTGTAAACGAGGCCTTTTATATTTAAACATTACTGTTCCGTTCGATTCCATAATACGGCGAATCGAAGATACAAGGAAAAATTGGATTCAGTAGTCCGAGGACGCAAGTGATTCACCAAGACACGGAAACGCGGGTGTTTGGGTTGTCTTCGGCCCAGCACAGCCATGCCTGCCGGACCGGTGCAGATCGTGCAGCCGGAAACCAACAATAAGGTAACGGGTAGCTGCGAAGCGCTGCGGGCCTAAGTACGTGGTTTACCCGGGGTAAAACTGTACATACAAAAACAGCTACAAAAACTGTGTTCTGGTCCACGCAACGTGTCCATAGTAACTTCAGATCCAAAGAGTTTTGTTTTCTAATATTCCTGTAAAGAAACTTGTCGGTTTACATTCGCGCTCAGTGCAAATACATGTTCTGGGAGTTTTACCCTTGAGCTAAGAACTTTTCTCAGTGTAAAACAAGTCGGGTGCTTTGGGGTAGACCTGTGGAAGTCATCCGTAATTCGAGGGGATAATTGTAATATCTTCTGCGCGATAATAGTATACTGGGATGGTTGAGCCACACGAATACTAAACTCTGTGCAAGAACGGGCGTGCTGCGAAGTTGACCGCCTGTGTTTTGGGGTTTTGAGATTTCGCTGTTTTTACATTTCGCGGTGTAGTGTCACAATGCATTGAAGAACTACACCCAGCAGTGTCTCTTTGCAGGCGGTGGATGTGACCTGTAGCCCTCAGTATTGGATTAATGTTCTGTTTTCACAGGTCGATGAAGCGAAAGAGGAATCGCCGGCTTCCAAGCCCATCGTGGGCATCATCTACCCCCCTCCGGAGGTCCGGAACATCGTCGATAAGACAGCCAGCTTTGTAGCCAGGTAGGCTGTTTCTTCTGATAACTTGGCAGCTCTCTCGATGCACCAGGTGGCACTATATTTAATTCTCTAAAAGAAAAAAAAACACATTTTGGAACCATGATGGATGTACTAAATAGTTCTCTATTGTGTGTTGAGGTGTTTCTGAGGATTTCACTATAGGTACAACAGAACCCAGCGAGCCAGGTCCTGGGTCCCATTTAAAAAAATGATTATTACATTTGTAAAGGCAGATGTATTCTTAGAGGAACAATACAAAATCCATATGGCAAAAACAAAGATAACCAAACAAAAATGCATTTTGGAGTTAATGCAAAGTTGAACATGAGCTTTGAATTCAGCAAAACAAAAATTGCTCTTTTCTTTAATGAAGGTATCCATAACATAGCTGCATTTGTCGAAGTTCCAGGCGACTCTGAACTGAACGACTTGACTTGAAAAGATAGATGCATGTGGCTCCTCTTGGGAATTAGGTGCTGTCTCTCAGCTACAGCTGCTCCCTGCTCTGAGCTGCACAGCGCAGTGAATCCTGCTGCACTCAACGAGTGGCCTCCCACCGTGGGAGACTTGAGCACAGTTGGTGTCCTGTGGGGTCACGTCACCATAACAAGCTCACTGATTGAACCCTCGTGCAATATGCTGCAAGCCATTGTTGTTTCTGAACTCGCCCTGTAAGGGCATCTACGATTCCAGCATCCATTCCTTTCCTCTACCCTTGCAGAAACGGACCAGAGTTTGAGGCGAGGATTCGGCAGAACGAGATCAACAACCCCAAGTTCAACTTCCTGAACCCCAACGACCCCTACCATGCCTACTACCGGCACAAGGTCAACGAGTTCAAGGAGGGGAAGGCGCAGGAGCCCTCGGCCGCCGTGCCCAAGGTCATGCAGCAGCAGGCCCTGCAGCAGGCGCCCCAGCAGCAGCTCCCGCAGAAGGTAGGCTCGGGGGACCCCCTCCGCCCCCCACACTCGGAGACGACCTCGTGCTTTGTAACTAAGCGCAGTGGGCCTTGAGGCTCGGAAGGAACGAAGTCGTTGTGGATTTTGATTGTTCTGTTCTTGTCCCTTGAGTTCCGCAGGTTCGTTTTAATGGGTTTTTGAAAGCAGAACAAAAAAACGTGTTGTCAGTCAGTTTGTGATGCAACCAAATGGAACTTATAGGACTTGACTTTTAATAGGTGCATCAGAAGTGCTGTTGTTTCTTCACCACTGAACAGATGGTCACATCCTATGAGGCATTTCACCCTTTCAGGAAGAGCAAATCTCTATAGCTTGCCAAGTGAACAAAGATAATTTATTGATATGTTTATATGAGCCCCGTAAGTGGCTAAAAGTTATTTAGTTTCTGATCCATACATTATGGCTTGAACAGACTACTGATTTAACGCTATCGAATACACCACAACAAGTGCAGAACGGTGTTCCCAAGCCCAGCTAACAGCTTCGCATCTTTGCAAGGTGCAAGCGCAGGTGATCCAAGAAACCGTGGTGCCGAAGGAGCCTCCCCCCGAGTACGAGTTCATCGCCGACCCCCCCTCCATCTCGGCCTTTGACCTGGATGTGGTGAAGCTCACGGCGCAGTTTGTTGCGCGCAACGGGCGGCAGTTCCTCACCCAGCTCATGCAGAAGGAGCAGCGCAACTACCAGTTCGACTTCCTGCGGCCCCAGCACAGCCTCTTCAACTACTTCACCAAGCTGGTGGAGCAGTACACCAAGGTAGAGGGAGCGCTCTCCTTCTGTATTATGACATTTATTTTATGCTTCTTCTGTTAAGGTATTTAATGACGTTGTAGTGACAGGAACTACAGTTAGTGATATAATTTCATAGATTATGTACTGTAGCAGCCCACTTTCATAAGTATGGACTCAAGCTGTGTGTGAGCAGTTCTATCCAGGTGTTCATTACTTCATGGACAATATATAAGATACTTCTTCCATCCCTTTTCAGTACCTTCTCAAAGCTCAACTTTTCACCACAGCCTGAAACCTTTGCATTGCTATGTATCGTATACAGACCCATTCACTGTTGTTTAATGCATTTTATACATTTGTTGTGCTGTTTTGTTTTTATATAGAATTTAATCAAGTGATTTGAAAACATCATAGTGGGTTGTCCAACTTTACTTACTAAGCGGTCACCATTTGTACATGTTGCAGATATTTTGTTTATGGTTGTAGATACAGTCTTAAGTTAAGAATACAGTACCCAACATCTGTTCGTCGATCTTGAGGTTTAAGCTAGGGTTTTCTAGGTGAGTAGGAAGTATGACACACAGGTGCATTTCCTCCACATAAACCTTAGAAAGTTTTACCTGTTGTCAGCAAAGGTGACCTTTCAAGGTGACTTCCCAGTCTCGGTCTTGATGTGGGCAAATTCATGTTTTAAAAGTGTCCTCAGTTTTGAAGGTTATACTCAAACCAGTTAATAATGTATATTTATTAGTTTAACTAGCTGTTTGTATTTAGAAAATACAGTTGGCATTGAATTTTGGGAAAGATAATCAGACTTGTTCAGAAAACTTAATCCGATGCAGGATTTAGAAATTTTGGGAAATGCACTTAGATAAAAACGTAGAGTAATGAGGGCCTTTTTAATTTACTATTCATTGTGCATCTGTCTGTTCTTCATGGTCGTAATCCCAAAGACTGTTTGTGTTCTAGATCCTTATCCCTCCCAAAGGGCTGCTGCAGAAGTTGAAGAGAGAGGCTGAGAATCCCAAGGAGGTGCTGGACCAGGTGAGACTGTGAGCCGGAGCCCAGAGCTCGTGTGGAACCTCCTCAGTGACTGGGGTCGTGTGCAGACAAGCAGCATGGCTGACAGTAAGCGTAGAGCCCTGCTTGTCTTGCAGGACCCAGCCTGATTGCTGCAGGCTTGGGACTTTTTGTCTCTGTTTAAGGAGGGCTCAGCCAATTATCCTGAACTCCATAATAGCTATCTGCGGGGCTGTTATCTTTCGTATCCGTCCATTAAGGGCTTTTATCGATTAAGTTTCAAAAGGGTGGATTGCAAACAGCTAGAAAGCAACTTCCTCATTTCACCTCTAACAAATACAACTTGAGCTCTTGTGATGTAACACTAGTGAGTGTGTGTGAGCTTTGATGAATGGAAAAATTCAGTGCACAAGGCGCAGTTGACTAGTGACAGTCTTTCACTTTTGGTACCCTATGTTGCTATCCACACCCCCAAGGAACCATCATTGAATTCATCTAAGGGATTCTTCTGATGTGGCGTCACCACCTCGATTTCAGAAGGCTGTTGTTAAAAGCTTCTGAAGAACACCCTTATTGCTTTTCTTCCTGTTCATTTTATTTCCTGTAAGACAACTTTAAAATGGCCACCATAATATCCACATTCTTTCTGCAGGTGAGGTACCGGGTGGAGTGGGCCAAGTATCAGGAGCGCGAGAGGAAGAAGGAGGAGGAGGAGCGGGAGAAGGAGAGGGTGGCCTACGCGCAGATTGACTGGCACGACTTTGTGGTGGTGGAGACTGTTGACTTCCAGCCCAATGAACAAGGTGGCCCATTGCTAGTCCTGTGCTGTGATCTGAATGGGAGATTCATCCCTAATGCGAAGGAGGCGTGTTTCCGGTTTGCCGATTTCAGTGTTAGGAAGCTAGGGAAGGAGATTATAATGAGCATTTTAAAGCTTTTGCTGCTGCTGTACAAAATGTACTTACAGCAGCAGGTTTAGTAGGGGGGGGGGTTCATATACAAATTTGTATCTTCTAACTTCAGTTTTTTGTTTTCTGAGCTAGTTTTTTGTTTTTTAGCTAGTTTAAGGTTTTAGTGTGATTAGATGAGGCTGAACCTTAGCCACTGATGGAAGAGATCTAACCATGCGAGGGCTGGTTCTCCATGTCCAGACCCAGACAGATGATCTCAACTGCATTCATCTAACTCCGGGTTCTTCACAGGTCACTTCCCCCCTCCCACCACTCCGGAGGAGCTGGGGGCGCGAATCCTGATCCAGGAGCGCTACGAGAAGTTCGGGGAGAGCGAGGAGGTGGAGATGGAGGTGGAGTCTGAGGATGAGGAGGATGAGGCCCAAGACCGAAACGAGGCGCCACCAACTCAGCTGGATCAGGACACACAGCTGCAGGACATGGACGAGGTGAGAGGACCCTTGATCACACACACTAACGGGGGGGCAGAATACTACACGGAAACTAGATGGAAATAAGCTTTTCAACCTGGTTCTTCACTGAAGACAGAGGTTTGTTTCTGATCTGAGACACTCTTCACGTAGTTAAGTCGTTATCACAAGGATACTATAATTGATGGTCAGCCTGTCGAAATTGTCGATGACTAAGTACTTGGGACTGGTCATTGAAATGGGACAAATGTTGTGACGCTTTAAAAAAGGCCAACAGAGACTCTTCTTTTCTTGGAAAACGGGGAGAAGGTTCGGGGTTTATGGGACGAGCTGTCCAGCTGTGTTGTTGAAGTTGATGCCCTTGTTACCTCCCGGAGGAAAAAAAAAAACTGGATTAAGTTTTCAGACCAGTTAGCTACTGAAAAAAGAGTGAAGCTTGATGGGCCGAATGATCTGCTATTGTTTGTTACCATTTTTGCATTTCATTGTGGGAGCTATCTGAAATGCCACCTTCTACGCCTGAAGCCTGTTTGACTTGACATTATCTGTTGAAATTTGGTGGTAGTTGAAAGCTGAAAGTTATTTCTCCACAGGGGTCTGATGATGATGACGACCATCTGAAAGTCCCGCCACCCCCTGACAACCCCGTGCCCCCCCCACTTCCCCCTACTCCTGACCAGGTCATCATCCGCAAGGACTATGACCCCAAAGGTGAGGAAATCCGTTCCAAGAATTCAGGAGTGCTTAAACCTATTCATGTCGGCCAAAACCTTATGATTTTGTCTTTGGGTCCAATAAAATATTTTCATCTTGGATCTTTGGAATAGTACATTTGGATTGGGACTACACATTGATCCATCATATTTCTAAACTATTCTTGCTATTCAGGGTCATGGGGGGGCAGAGTCTTTCCCGGTAGGCAATGGGTACAAGGAGAATACACCCTGGGCGGGACACCAGTTCATCACGGAGCAGACTGATGCAAACACACACCAGGGCCAGTTTTTTGAGATGCCAGTTAACCTTCCAGGATGTTTTCAGACTGTGGGAGAAAACTGGAGCACCCAGGGGAAAAAAAACCCATGTGAATATAAACGTACCACACGGAGTACAAATTACTTTTAATATTATCGACTGCACCTTAATCAGAATCGGCGATAAAAATGTCCTGCCGGGAGTTCCGATAGCTCTGAGCCCTGCCTTGCCTCGCAGCTTCCAAGACCCAGCCGCCAGCTCCGGCCTCGGACGAGTACCTCATCTCGCCCATCACCGGGGAGAAGATCCCCGCCAGCAAGATGCAGGAGCACATGCGCATCGGGCTGCTGGACCCCCGCTGGCTGGAGCAGCGGGACCGCAGCATCCGGGAGCGGCAGATCGAGGACGAGGTGTACGCCCCCGGGCTGGACATCGAGAGCAGCCTGAAGCAGCTGGCGGAGCGCCGTACCGACATCTTCGGTGTGGAGGAGACGGCCATCGGCAAGAAGATCGGGGAGGAGGAGATCCAGAAACCGGAGGAGAAGGTGAGACGGGGGGGAGAGAGAGTCATATGGGAATACCACCGGTGAGAGGTGGTCTGGTATACTAGTTCTCGAGCTTGACTTTTTGGTCAGATCGTGCTTTTTCTTCGCTATCTCGGAGTGGGCGATTAAGGAGTTTATATAGGGCTGATGTCTCTACAAAGGGCAGTAGTCGTAAGGATGGCTGTGATTGCTGGTTTTCAGAAAGATTTCCAGAACAGGTATTTGTAAAGTGTTTTGTAATTGTCATGAGACTCTGAGAAATGAGTGGTTTTAATCATCTTTATCCAAGCAAGATAGGTATTTGTTTGGTTATTCCAAGAGGAAAGAATTCTGTGGCCTACTGGAGGTCAGGAATGAATGTTCTTGGGTCAGTAATTCAGGGCCACGTGTCAGTGGGATCTCTCAATGAGCAGGCTGCTGGGTTGGCTCTTGGTCTGTCTCACAGCGTTTCTCTCCGCTGTGTTGGTGGCAGGTGACATGGGACGGACACTCGGGCAGCATGGCACGCACGCAGCAGGCAGCCCAGGCCAATATCACTCTGCAGGAGCAAATCGAGGCCATCCATAAAGCCAAGGGACTGGTCCCGGAAGATGACAGCAAAGAGAAGATTGGGCCCAGCAAGCCCAGCGAGATGCCGCAGCCCCCCATCCCTTCATCTGCCCCCAACATCCCAAACCCTGCTCCCCCTGTCACATCTGTACCTCGGCCCCCTGCGGTAAGTCACTGCTGGTGTGTTAGTGCCTGAACCAGGAGTAGGCCATGCTGTTAAAACTGGTTAATTGTTTGAAGGTGCTTTTCTGTTGGCCAATGAGGGTGTAGCACTGCAGGCAACAGCCCTTGTTTTTCCCAACTTTAAAATAACCTCACAACACCGTTTCCCATTAAACTGGAAATCTCAGCACTGCTGATCTATTTACTGATTCAGGGATACACTTGAAGCTGTTGTTTTGGTGTTTCAATCTAAAGGGAAACAGTTGATTTACAGAACAAGCACCGTGAACACCCTATAGTTTTGACCCTGTAATCGTACTCCTCTTGGACACAGACTTAACAAAACCCTGGGCAGTCTTTTCCCCAGTAACTCGTGATCACCTTTACTGTGGTGGTATTTACAGAGCTGCAGAATGCTGCACAACTAGTGGTACAGGGTTTTGATTGATCAAAAACTGGCTTAATGCATATCCCAGCCTGCCCCGCAGCTCCGCCGCGCAGCTCGTCGACCCCTGCGGGCCTGGTCTGTCTTCGTCCCTCCGGCCTGTTGACGCCAAGACCTCTTTCTCCCTTCCTGCGCAGATGCCCCCGCCGGTTCGCGCGGCTCTGGTGTCGGCCGTGCCGGTGCTGCCGCGGCCCCCCATGGCGCCCGTGGTCAGGCTGGCCCCCAGCCAGGTGCTCGCCCCCATGCCTCCCATGATCCACACGCCCCGCATCAACGTGGTGCCCATGCCTCCCTCGGGGCCGCACCTCATGGCCCCCCGGCCGCCCCACATGGTGGTCCCTACAGGTAAGGACCTCCCAGGGGGGTGTCAGACCACCCTCTCCTGTTGCGTTTCACACGTACTGTTCCGTTTTAGGCTCTTCCATGGACTTTGGGTGTTTTGATACTGCACCAATGAGAAGATGACTGCAGTTTTTTTTTTAATTTGCCGACACCTCTGTCATGCTTTTCTTGGAGAAGGATCAATGTGATTGCAGACTTTACCGTATTGTATTGATCCAGTTCGTTGATTTCTGCCCCTTTAGATATGACCTGTGACATTCTCTGTCTTCCTCTTGGTCAACAAAGCATTCAGTTGACCTAAATGTGCACTGTTTTTACTCCTGGAATTGTCGTTGTGGTTTAGCGAATAAAGTTTTGGTTCACTGATAAGTCTGTTATACTGTATTGTGATTTACATAAACAGTTAACAAAGTTGATGCTGCTCTCGGCCCAAGATAACTATCAATTTGTAAAACCATCGATTGCTCCTAAGTGGCACTTGGTTAAAGGTCATAGTGTAAAAAGTGTCCTATTACCTGGGGCTCCTAAGTGCCTAAAACATTAAATTAAAACACTGGTTCGAGCCTGGAACATGTCACAAGCAGACCGTGGCATTTGCTGGAAGCTCACTGGGGTGGTAAGGTTGCCCAGGGGTGATCTCGACTGCCGGTGCAATAATGACTCTGCAGGCAGGGCAGTGGTGTTGGCGAAAGATGTGGTACTGCTCCAGTTGACTCTGGCTCTCCCGGATGCCACTGTGGAGCTTGTGATGGAAATGATTAATTGCCCTGACGTGTGTATCAAAGAAGCACGTTTTTTCGGGCAGCACAAGTTGTAACTCAAAAGGCAAGTTTGGCGAATCTAAATCAGGTGGCTACGAAGTCCAAAAAGATCATCATTACTTCCTCTTTGCAGTACAAAACAGTAATTTATAAGACATCAGGTTTTTAGTAATTGTTGTGGAATATTTGCTGTGATCCACTGGAACGTACTGAACCCCTTGCCTTGTCGCGTCTTCCCCCTGCAGCCTTTGTCCCTGCCCCTCCTGTGCCACAGCCCCCGAGCGCTGCGCCCACGCCCATGCCCCCTTCTCACCCACCCCCGCCCCTCGACGACGAGCCCGCCAGCAAGAAGATGAAGACCGAGGACAGCCTGATCCCCGAGGAAGAATTCTTGCGCAGGAACAAGGTATCTGTAAACCCGCCGCATGGAGGAGCTGACTTTTAAACTGAGCGGGACCACTTGTCATGTGCTTTTTATTTCATTCTGGGCTGTGTTGTGTACAGTCTTCTGATGTTTCTCTCCCAATTGCTTGCTATGCTTACTTTAGGAAATACATTCTCCCTACTATTTCTGCTTGTTTAAGTGCTGACTGGCTTCACCTTTAAACTGCTTGCCAGGAAATGTAGCAAAGATTTTTTTTAGTTGTTTGTGCTAAAGCATTTAACATAGTAAAGCATTGTTCTGATGGGAAAGACAGCATCCAAGTACCCAACAGAAGCTGTATAGCAGGATCTGTAACATAAGATGTGAGAATAGCATGTATGTTTTGTACTTACAAGTTGGGTTTAGAGTTGATCATTGAAAATCCACTTACATTTGGTTAATGGCAGGGCTGTTTTGCTTACTGCCTAGTATTGATGCATGATTTCCCTGAATGCCGCTGTGTACTATGACCACGTCCTCTCTGGTTTTCAGGGTCCAGTCGCAGTGAAGGTGCAGGTGCCCAACATGCAGGACAAGACAGAATGGAAGCTCAGTGGCCAGGTCCTCAACTTCACTCTCCCACTGACCGACCAGGTACAGATCTGATTTCCACATCTGTTACAGTGAATCCAAGTCATGGGCTCTGACACAGATGGGGTTTCTGTCTCAGTTCCCTGCACTGGTGTGCTATTGAAAATGGTTCGTGTAGGGAGCTGCGTCAGCATGCGTGGGCTGCAAAGGAACAAGTAAAGGTTTTATTCCACAGCCGGAAAGTTGTTTCTTCCCCTTTCGGCATGCAGCTTAAAATGTCAGCCAGTGCTGTTGGGTTATCTTTCCATATTTCTTCACACATGTGCAACTGGATTCCAAAACTGATTCAGACATCTAGATTGTCACCACGTGCTATGAACAAACCAAAATGCTTTATTTACTGTGCAATATGAACCATTTTCTCTACACTTTTGCCTAGCATGTCAAAATTGGTCTTTCTGATGCAGTTCAGAAATTAAAACTATTGTGGATGGTCAGTCTTTAGATCTGACTAGATGTGTTGGCAGATGCTTTTTTTGCATTTTAAATGCCTCTTACAGATGTTGACCAAATTGTGAAAGATAGTTTGGCACAACTCAAAAATGTGTCCATAATTAATAGGGGTGATGAAGTTGTTTTTATATATATTTATAATCCTCGTTTTGCAGGTGTCCGTGATAAAGGTTAAAATCCACGAAGCTACAGGAATGCCAGCTGGTAAACAGAAGCTGCAGTATGAGGTAAGTTGTCTCCATCTGCCCTGTATGCTGTTACAACATGGCAAGTTTGTTCCAAGTTATCAATTTCTCTTAACGTCTGCTATTAAAGTTTTTTTTTCCTGAACCCTTGGAATACAAGTACTAGAGTTAAAAAAAATAGCATAGTGCAAAAGGTAACGACATGTAATCACATGTTCATTCAAAACGAAATGAACTTTAAGATAACCGGACTTATAAGTATGACATGAAAGTACCAAAATCTCTGTAGTCATTGCTGATGGTAATGATGATTGACAGATGTGAAAGTGAAACACAGTCATGCCTGTTACATCTCCTAATCAGGTGGTCCTGGCTGTTTTGGTGGTACCAGATATGTTGTACAGTTGGATTTAGGCAATAAATATGAAGGGCAGACTAGCCTCTTGATAAATATCTTAACTGCTAAAGAAAGTTCAGAATGACCTTTTTCCATTGTTTGCTTCTAATATCGTCATGACTTGATGCCCTTATGGACTTTTTTTTCCTCTCACTTTCAGGGCATTTTCATCAAAGACTCCAACTCTTTGGCTTACTACAATATGAATAACGGCTCTGTCATCCATCTGGCTCTGAAGGAGAGGGGTGGCAGGAAAAAGTGAGCCTGGAATATTGGATTTATGGGATTCAACAGCTTTCCATAGACACCGGTGCTGTTTCCTTTCTGTAGGTTAACTTACTAAGTGTGTCAGGGTGAAGACGCAGAGTGGTGTCCATGAGATCACATCTCCAAAGATGCAGAAAAGCAGCCACTACAGAAGACAAGATTTTGATGTTAATTTTTGTTTATCTCCTTGGTGTAGTAATAGTTTTTTCAATCCTGTTTTAAAATCTCCTGCTTTATGTACCGTATTTTACATTAATCTGTTTATGCTATATTAGGTAGAATGGGATTATTCTTAACACAGATAAGAAAAAATACAATTTATGATAAATATAATACTGTTTAGTTATTACATTTACATGGTTATTTTAGCTTCAAATTCAACTTGAAAGCTATTAAAAGAACTTTCAGAATGTATCACGTTTGTACTTTCCTTGAGTAGATTAGTGTTCTGTCTAAAAGTGTGAATAAAAGTCTCCTCATTTTCACGTATCACTTCAGTACCAGTTTTCATGTATTATGTGCTGCTGTGTTGACTCCTTTTTAGACCCAATATATAAATCTGCCATTAGCTTAGTCTTTTTACTGCTGCTTTTGAATTTTATCTCTGAAAGAATAATCCTAATGATCACACAATCACATTCAGTATATGAATGCTTATTCGCATAAGGGCTAGAAAACAAAACCTGGGACCTTGCATTGGGTTACAATTATTTGCTGCTTTTTATGTAGTTTTAATGAAGAGGTTCCAGATATATAACCCAAAATGCATTTTAGATCAGGAGTTTCAAACAGAGTTCCTGGAGGGCCTATTGACTTTTTAGTCCATCTAAGCTTTCTTACATAATTGGTCTAATTTATTTAACTGCATATTTGTAATATGCAAAGGAACATGTAATAGGTTTATTCCATGGTGAAAAGGGAAGAAAATAAACGTTTTGGCTGTGGAGCCTTCTTTAGGTGTTGCCCAACAGCTGAAACATTCTTTTCTTCTCTTTTCAGTATGGAATAAACCTATTACTTTTTCCTTTGCAGCCTATGCATGCTGACGCAGCTACCCACCTGAAGTATTTGTAATATGTCTGTTCAGTCTCTGACATTGTATACATAACTATACATTTACTTGGCTAAATTAAGTGATCAACTGTAAATCAACTTGGAAAAAATCCAATACATGTACAAAACTCTTGAGCTTCATCCAGCACTAGGCCCTCCAGGAAGAGTTTGAGACCCCACTTGTATATTAATTGACAAGATAGTCTACATTGTAACCGAATTGCAACCATTTATTGTCCAGTTTTGCTGGGTTTCTATGTATAGAAGCCCCATTTGTTTTTCATGCGTCATGGTGTTTGGATGACAGATTGTTTTCTAATCGGTGACCATGGAATCTTGTGGTTTTCATTTCCTCTTAAGATAAAATGAGGAATTTTATTGGTTCCCTTGGTCATATTTATAGTCCTGCTGGGTCTTATTGAAAAAATTAGACTGAGTCAGTGCACTCTGTACTGAGACATGGAATTTGGACATGGATTTTCTTTTCCTTGATATAAGAAATTTGATTAAGAGGCTAATTATTATGTGAAACCTGGATGCGATTATTACTCAATGTTGTTAGTGTATATTGAAATAGAGAGATCTTTACTTTCAGACTTGCAATACCAAAGTCCTGATGTTTAAAGAGGGCTGCTACATGAACACAGAACAAATTGGTGCAGTTTCAAACCTACGATCTATAATTAGACACTTAACTAATCAATCTTATTGGGGCTCTATTGACGTTCTCAAAAATAGCTGTTGAAAATGTGGAGTTCAGCAGGACTCTGTCATTTGGTTCTCTGTGCAGAAAGCTTTCACTGGTTACCAAGCTAATGACTTCTGGACTGTCGATTGTGCTTTGGTAATATCTTTAAAAAAACAGTATTGTGTGTTTTGACAGGAAAAAATACAAAAGACTGAAAATAACAGCAACTGATTTATTTTTTTCTTCTAATTTGTCTGGTGTTTTTGCAGTACCTAGAATGTTTGGAAGGTGGCAGCAAACCATTACAAACTGCAATGTACAACAATTTACTTTTACAAGATTGAAAAGAATGGCCTATAAACGCCTCGTTGTACACCTAATGTGCTTTTCATTAAACGGTTTTTACTTTTTACCAGTGCAAATCTAGTATTGTTTTATGGTTTTAAAAAAATTGATTGTCTCAGGTTACAGTCGCGGGTTAATCAAAGATTCTATCACAACTAATATGTTGCATCTAATTTATAGGAAGCAGACGTGTGTAAATTATTCTTATGCATTTGCTACTACAGTGCTATTAATTTTAACAGGTTACATATTAAAACAAGTTGAGTGACAGATTTTAGAGAAGCTCTGAAGAGGCTGTGTTCTTTGAGAAGACATCTAATCTAGTACATAACAATGGTTACAGACACGAGAAGGCTGTTGGGCCCCACGAAGTTCCTTTGGTTTTTAGTAGCTAATTGATCTGAGATCTCCAGCATCTTGAAAGCTGGAAGAGCATCGACTTCAACAACATGGATAGTTTGCTCCAACCTCCTGCAACCTGTTGTGTCAACAACGCCCCCTCTTCTCTGTTTCAAATGCAGTTCCCCAAAGTTAACACCTGTGTCCTGTGTGGTTGAGCAAGAAGTTCCAGCGGTTGAATTTGTCTGTGCTTCCGAGGACTTTCAAGATTTTATCAGGTCCTCTCATAGTTTTCTCTGTTGAAGACTCAAAGGGAGCATAGGCCATTTCTTTGATCTCATGAATGTATAAAATTAATCTTCTCTAAGCTGATTCCAGAGCAGCATTTTTTAATTCTAGTGACCAATGCTGTTCCCAATTTTCTAAATGTCTTATGAGTGCACCTTACATTAACAATAGCCCTTGATTTCACTTTCACACTTAAATATTTATCTTAACATCCTGTTTGCCATTGTTTCCCTAACGTCTTGAAGATGATAAGCACCCATTTTCTTCAGAAGTAGCATCTTCAAATGCATGTTCTTATAGTTTAGACTAATTCCAAACAACACTGTGCAGTTGTCTACATTAGTCATCTGCCAGGTGCTTGCCCAGTTCTGAAATTGGTCTTTTCAAAATGCTTTGATCCTAAAGACCCCTACGATTTAGTGTTAAATAATCCTGTTAGTTTGGTATAACTTGCTTAACACTTAAACTACATTACCTCAGCTTGAGCACTCACCCTTTAACTGTGCCTTCTGTTTACATAATTCGATTTTCAGTCTGAAGACATGCATGGCCTTCAATGCCAGCAATCAGAGGGTTAACCTTTATGAGGAACTTATCATAAAAAATTAAATATACCCTACCGTAAGCTCTGCTTGTATCCTATACCGCTAGAGAAACCTTTAAAAACCAATAGGTTTTTGTTCTCGTGTATACCTGTGACTATATCCTCGCTTGACGAACGAATATCTTCTGCCTGCATACGCGTATGGTCTCTGGGTTTTCTTTAGATTGTCTGCAGCTGTAAAACAAGTTGCCCTTCGGGGGATAATAAAGACGTCCTCAACACCTTCCGCTTCCAAACCCCCAAGTAAGCTGCTCCTCGGTAGCCTTTTGGCATACAGGGGAAGTGAGCAGTTGCTTTCAGACTGAGCGGAGATGACGACGACAACGACCGGCGTGTTGCAAATGCATTGAACACCACGCATCATCTGCACGAGATCCCGGGTCGTCTGAGGGCCTTCAGGTATCGGTAAGCACAGCATAGACTTAACTGACTGACTGCATCCACTAATACAGGCTTCCTGCGCACGGCTGGGGCGGGTCTGTCCAGCACCGCGCAGGCGCGGGCGGCTCCACGGGCAACGTACAGTAGCTGCAGACGGAGCTGGGGGGGCGAAGCCGCCGTGTTCACGCGTTGGGTTTGATCATTTTGTTTGTGTTTGGGGCGAAGAAAGAGTAGCAGCCCGGCGATTAATCGGGAAAGCAGCGAGAGGTGGCCTGCGTCACCGCCTCCCCCCACCCTGCTGTGTGGGCTGTGAAGGCGAAAGGATTTGGGGAAGACGGTGGAAGAGAGTAAACACGGGGGATTTAAACACCAGTAATTTTCCCCCTCCCCTGCGTTAACTACAACAGACAAAAAGAGGTGGCGGTGGCTGGTTGGGACTGCGCCGATCGGACCTGCGAGAGGGCGGCTCTGTCGGCGGCGGGGATCCCTGCGCTCCGAAAGGACGGCCTGCGGAGCCACTCGGGACCGGAGCTGCGGGATTCACAGACCGGGGGGGGGAGAGAAACAATCCTAAAGAAGCTCCCTGCCGTGGGGGTGCGGGCGAGCCGCCGGACTGCCCTGCCCGTGTGCTCGACCCCTTGCCCGTAGCTGCAGGCTCTGCTGCGCGCAGGGCGGTGCAGCTGCTCCGGGCTCGGCGCCGCGCAGCGGGCCGGGAGGACCTGGGCTACACTGTTGCCGTCGCTGGCGCCAATGTTTCTGGACAACCACACGTCTGTAGCTGCGTGATTGTGGGGGTCTCTAAAACAAGACGTGCGACACTCAAGCCATGGTGTTTCCGCGGACTTGGAGTTAACTGGGATTTCTTTTTTCTGCCCCGAGAACTTCTTGCGCTTTTAATTGAAATTCGCATCCTCCCACCTCCGTGCTCCGGACATATATATTCTGCTTTTTTTTTTCTTTTTGTTGTCGCCCTTGTCGTTTTCCCGGCGTGTTGCTAACCGGTTGCCCACTGACGTGAACGCGTTGCGGGGGGTTTCGGTGCGCAATGAGGGCGGCCGGGCTGTGCGTGAGGCGAGGGGTGAAGACGTGAGGAACAGCTTGGGACCGCGAGAAGGAAGCAGCTGAGCCGAACCGGGCCGGGCCGGGCCGGGCCGGGCCGGGGAGGGGAAGGGGGTGGTGGAGACGGTGCAGAGCCCCCCTTCTATTTCAGCGCTGTGGTTTTGGGGGTTCAGGGGGAAAGGGTGGGTGTGTGTGTGGGTGAGGTGTCATGGCCAAGACTGAGAATGGGCTGCGGTCTTCCGATCCGCAGAACCTGCGGGGGACGAGCGAGAGTCTGGCCGAACGGGAGAGCAGCTCCTTCGGGTCGGACTCGGAGGTCAACGGCTTCGCCAACACGGAGCGCCAGACGGACAGATATGGGTTTATTGGAGGAGCCCAGCAGCACACGGGACACTCGTGAGTAGCTATGACGACCACGTCATTTTATTGACCTTATTTTCTTCCTGTTGTTGTTGTTGTTGTCATCCGGCGTTGTCCGCTTTCGCTCAACAGCGCAGTGAAACTTGTACCTGTATTCCGGGGGTTAGACTCTCCCCCCCCCATGGCTTGACTTGTAACGCGTTTACCAAAGGACGGCTGGTAAAGCTAGGCCGTTACCCACGTGTACCGTGGTTTTGCTGGGGAGTGGGTGTCGCGCACTCTGCCTTGTGGGCCCCGTGTCGTGTGGGTGTGTGAAGTGTCGCGAGTTGGGTGACGACAGAGGCGGCTTGTCTCTGCAAAATAAGCAACACCCTGGGGAAGGTGGTGATACTCAGCGTTATCGGAAATTCACTCTTTTAAGCACTGAAGGGGGGGGGACTTATAAGAGGTTGCTTTCCCTTCTGAAGCTAGCCATGTTAGGTATTCCTCATGCACACACCTAAGAAGTGCAAGAGGTTCCGGACTGAGGTGGGCTGTCCAGGGGGCTTGTGTTGGTGAGCACACCAGCCTGCCGTCAAGGGCCAGGCTCTGGTTGCTGTGGCTCAGTTGTGTCTGAGTGTGAGATATCCTCATTCTTTAATTTGTCAGGATTGTGTGGGCTTTCCGGCAGCCTTAACTCAAAGCTAAGATTAGGAAAGACTCAGGTTGCTGAAAGGTCACTGAAGCTCCTCCTAATGAGTAGGGCTTCTGAAAGCGTTTTTGTTAATGCTTGAGAGTCGGTCGCACCCGAGTGTGGCTTCTAACTGCATTTTCTTTGCAACAGGATGAGTATTTATAATGGATTTTCTATGGTTTCTTAGCAACCAGTTACCACATTTGGGTGTTGTCTTGGATTATATGTCAATGTTGCTTTAATTCATACTTAACTGGCCAGAAACACGGTGACTAACTTTCGACAGTTGCTTGAGTCCACGTAGCAAGATCTTGCATTCAATGCGCAAAATGAAACGGGCTTAAAAAAAAATAACCTCTTTTGTGAGGTATTCCGGCTCGTGACAATGGGTTGCAATCCAATTGGATACTGGACATTGGAACTGAATTACAATCCAGTGCCACAAACGATTGAGCATACAGTCGTCCATATGAAAATGGGATTGCATTGTCTCCTGCTTTGTTCTGTGCTTGGAGCTAGACTGTGTAAGTATCGAGGCTCAGTCCCAGAGTTTGACGTTTGAATCTGTTAGGTGTGTGTTCATGAAATCTTCCGCCCGGTTTCCACCGCCTGTACCCCTTGGACTCGGACTTTTATCTTAAACCGCAGTCCAAGCCTTCTTTGCCTGGTCTAACTGCTTGAATCTGTTGAGACTTGCTGTGTGTGTGTGTGTTGACATCGAAGTAATGACTCAACAGCCGTATTTAATGCCGGACTTGTTTAGGTGTCACAAGGCTCTTATGTTCCGGTTTGGAGTATGTGGCATTTCAGGTCCAGGCAGTGGTGGGAGGGAACACAATGTGAAGATGGGCACAGAGCACCCATCCGGTCAAACCTGAGTAAAGCCTGATGACGTGGCTTTGTGCCCTGTCATATGCTTATTTTAATATGGCACAATACTAAGTACCGTGGAGCAGCACAAACATGGCCGCGTATAGTCAGGCTTGACCTCGTGTAGGCCCTGATGCAGATGCTCGCCTGCCTAACAGAAGGCGTATTGTGTTTGCAAACCTGTAGTGGAGAGACTGGACAATTCCATCACGATCAGAAGCTCTGTGTTAAACTGGGTCAGAGCAGGTCTGTATGGGTGGAGTACAGTTATGTCAAATGACATCGTTCTGTTGTAGGCCTACAGCAAATGCCTTTTCTCTGGGTTTAGTTTGGTGGTTGCCTCGCCTGCTGCTTGAGAGAGGTGTACTGCAATCGCAGGGTACAGGTTCAGTAAGAAACGCACAAAACTAAACACGTCCTGCTTTGTGTCTCTTTGCTTCCCTCTTTCCGATTCCTAACTGGCCATGTTAAAGTGATTTTGAAAGTGGAGTCTGCTGAGACCGTAACCTGACGTGTAACAGCTGTGATGGCAAGAAGAGCATGTCTGGTTCTTCAGTAACAGAACAATTAAGAGCTAAATATGGGCCTTTTAAACAAGTAATAAGGGCTTAAGGACTGTAAACCAGTGTTGGAGCATTTAGAGTCACCTGCCTCCATTGGTTTTTGTTGCTTGGTTAAGCCCAAGCAGTTCTGCTTCATAAACAGGTTGTTTTCATACTGCGCTTGATGTCTGAGCTCAGAATTGGTTGGCTCTGTTTAACCCGTTACTAAAGCAAACACACTGAACAAACTCAGTGGAGCTCAACAGGGTGAGAACAATGGGCTCTGAGCTCCCAGCTCAGATGCTGGCTTAGATCTGAGCAGTGGTTCTCATTCCCGGTCACCGCTACACCTGAGCTCTGAGGTCCCATTGAGTGTTCCTGCTCACCAAACTGCTTGCTCGAGGAGAACTTCTTGGCCCATTCCTGCAGCTCATTCTTTCTCAGTTTCCAAACAGCCTGCATCTGATGCGTCGTTGCCAAGAAATGTTGCGGCCAGAACTGAATTCTCTCTCCTTGTCTTGGTAACTCAGCAGTTGCTGCCTTGATTCTTTTTTAAGCAGCTGTTTGTCTGTGACCTGTTAATGATGTTGAAACATAGGTGTTAAAGTAACTCTTGAGTGGCTCTTAGACTCCCACAGTAAGAATAATTTGTTCTTTAGAAGCCCAGCTGCTTACAGAAGAACATAACTAGTTTGCGAAAAAATCTTTTTAGCTTTTAAACAAAATAAAACAATCGCAGCATTGTCTCCTGCCCATAAAAACCACAGGCACTCGAGGGCCAGGGCTGGTGTTGGTGGAGTTGGGATTGTGATTAAAGGTACGTGAATATCAGGGGAATGTGCTCAGGAGTAGTGGATTTAATGGATGTAGGTGACCTGTATTTCTCTGTCCGAAAAGATGAGTGAGGAGAATACCCATTTTTAGCTTTTTTGTACTCCCAAGATTTATAACAATTTACTGTACATTGACTTTGGTTTTTTTTTTCACATTCCTGCAAATGCAGATTGTGTTTGACTCAAATATCTCACAAAGGTGCTGTTGTCAGCAAAGTGTGTGAAGATCACTTTCAAAACAAAAAAAAATACATGACATCCAAGTCAACCTTCATGAAGGCCTTGTGGTCAACATACCATTTCTTGCTTCAATTTCAAAATTCTAGGGGATGACAGGACTGTGGAGGGGGATGAAGAAACAGTAAAAGACGTTATTTGATGAGGGTCTTCCATGTGGGTTTTTTTACCTTTCGAGGAACTGTGATACGATATGGGAAAGCTGACCATGCGAAGCAGCTCCGTTTGGCTGAGTTATTGATCCAGAGTGAATCCTGTTACCTGATTGGCACCAGCTGCCATGGCCAGGAAGTACTGCTGAGTGAGCCTGTAGTCCTGGCAGGTTTGTATACTGTACGTGTGCCATTAGTTCTGACCTTGGTTGTTGGTGATCTTTTCTGTTAGGTGTTGAGCAGCCTTAATTTCTAATGTGTCTTGTACCGAACGTGTGGTGCCTTTCAAGCTGCAGGCCTTTGTGTCCTGCATAAAAAAGTAACTTTTTTTATTTTGAAGTGGGAAGTTTAACCCCCCCCAAAAAGCATTAGATCCTTTGGTCTGGACTGTAGTTGCCTTTAGCTTGATGTCGTTGGTCTTAGTCTTTCCAGTTCGGCGGTTTGGGATTAGATCCATTCTGAGGATGTGAGCCAGCTAAGTCATGGAAAAGGTGGAAATGAACTGAAAAGAAGAACCAGGAGCAGGGTGGGGAGAAAACAAAAGGGTTTGACTGCTGGCGAAAAGCTGGATCCTTTGGAGTTGGCTAGATAAGAGCCCTGATGATCTTTTTTGCAAGACACTAGATGGGGAAAAGCCACTGAAAGTGGGGATCAAATGTGACCTGGTGCAACACCAGCAGAACCGATATCCCTGTAGAAAATTACTGGCCTAATTGTGTTTTGAAATACTCTTTCACATTAGGTTGTATAAGCTTCCTGGTTTGCAGTGCAGGAGGTGGCTGTTACTGCAATCAAGTATAGGAGCAACATTTTCCATTTCCTAGTTTGTTATACAGCGAGTGAGGAGAGGAAGGCCAGAGCTAGTCTTGCACAGTGAAGGGAAAGTAACTGAATCTGTTCTATTGTTGAGCAAAGGAGTCAGTGGCGGGGATGGCTTCACGTATTTGTGTGCTCTGGGGTATTGATAGAATGGACTTCTTCAACTCCAGAATGTAAGATAGCCTAGAGGACGTGAGTGAAAATTAAGGGGAAGTGCATTTAAGGCAGGACGGCAGCAGAGGGAGTCTAGCTGATACTCTGGCAGGTGAACGTGTGCTTATATCAAGAGCTGAATGGGCTCAGTGGCCTCCTGTCATTTGTCCAATCAATCAAGCTGAATAGGTTAGCCTGTTTCAGCAAGCACCTGGCATAAGGCACGATACATCACTTACTGCCCCTCCAGTCTAGTTTTTTGTTTTCCTTCTCTTGCAGGCAGCATCCGCATTCAATTCTGCTGTGCTTTCTATCAAGCAAAGCTGTAGTGGTTCAGTTGCAGGAACTATATCGGTCACTCCAGCCAGGCAATGACAAAATGCAGCTGGAATGCAGTGTGATTATTTGTATTGTTTTCGGTTAATCTGTTTTTTTTCCAGCTTAGATTTTGTGTTGCTGTGGGAGCTGCAGTAACTGAACTTGCTGAAGAAACTCTCTCTAAAAATCTAACTTTTTTTTTTGCTGAATTAACGCACACTACGATACATTCTTGTTGGGCCCGTGACTCAGAATGTCATCCTAAACAAATCCTCCTTTCTTCTGAAAACTAGGAAAGGTTCAGATTTTATAGCTTGGCTCCGATTACTGTAGAAGCCCCATAGAAGGAAGGAAGCATGAATTTTTTATAAAGAAAATACTTGGCTCTGTAATCAGTTCGTCTTTGTGTTCCTTAACCTGCCCTTAATGCAATGAGGGG